CAATACAGCCTCAAGAAACCCAGCAGTGTCGCAAATAAAACTGTAAGTGTGTGGCAATGACAGTGTCTCTGCAGCAACAGATACACAAAAGGGGGGGGGGGTATTGAATGGTAGATCATGGGCTAATGGCCCCTCAACTGTCATTACCCCCATTACACTGTTATATAATATTGATAAATAAATCACTACTGCAGAGTCACCTACACTGTTCATTTACACACACCAACGAAAACACAAGTACAGCACCATGATGATTCTATTCTTTTATGTTATTTCAGCCAATTTACTATCCAAACAGACCTTTATGTGATGCTGCTGCACAGCTGCCTAATTTAATACTATAAAGTGACCTTTCAACCTCAATCTGCACCTTGTCCATTTACTGAACACTAAACACTCACTTCAATTAGAACAGACCATGACTGTTAGGACAAATAAAGGCAGATTAGAGGTAAAGGTTAAACATGAAACACTGGAGACTGACTATCCATTGAGTGAACAAGCACACATTTGAAAGAAGAATCCTGGAAATTTTCATGGAAATACTGTAAACAATGTCAAAATATATACCATTGAGGGCTGCAAAGATTCAAATACCTACAAGAGTCCCTGAAGTGGTACAGAAGAGCTCAAAGGCTGTTTGGTGTCGAGCAGCTGTATGAATTAATAATCACCAATTACAGTATATTATTGTGATAACCTTGAAAACTGAGCAAACTTGATAGCCTGGTCTGTTGAACAGCAGCTTGACTATCAGAGCAGACCTGTGTGCGGGACAACCAGCATCCTGAGAAAACAGATTAAGAGAAAAACATGACTGTTGTACTCACCAACTCCTATTTTCTCATCCTCCGTTGGCGTCCACATGATGTCCCCTTCACAAAAGAGCAAAATCCCCAAAAATATAATCACAGGAGGTGTAGCTTCATGGGAATCCTACAGAGGTTTCACCAGGGAGGGCAGAGATGGAGAAGAGGGACCAGAGAGGAAAAGTTACTTCTGATATTCAGGATGATGAGAAATGACCGCTCTGTAGGTGTCGATGCTGAATAAGGTGCAAGTGTTTTAGATGATGAGCAGGTGATGTGTTGTCTCATATCCTGTCAGATTTGTTGTGATGGATGAAGTAATGTATATGTCCATCTCTTTTGAAGCTACAGCTGAGAACTCTTTATGCAAGGTAACGAAAAATCCACACAAAGATCCTTCAGAAGAGGTAAACAGGCAGAGCAATCTGTTACTTCTACAGGGGATGAATATCACCAATTGGTCAGGGCAAAAGGCTGCGGCTTGACCAATAACACTGAAAATTCCTAAAGGACAAGAGGATGTTTGAACAACAATAAGCCTCAGGTCCTGCAGAACAATTACAATATTATGTTTCCAAAACGAGTACGCAGAACGGTACAGAAGTCCATGCTAGAGGATCCGGATCGGCAACTTTCGTCCCGCCTCTGATGCCTCCTAGAAATCCCCTCCTCAGTCAGTGAAACATCCCTCAGCCCTCCAGCTCCCGTTATTCCGATGATTCCTTCTGTATCTGTCCGCAAGCAGTGCTCCTGCCGCAGCGTCGTTTCTGCTCCCCGGTGCGGCTGTCAAACTTATCCAGTCCTGTCCGGTCTGTGCCCGATGCCGGATTGAACCCACCAGAGGGGGGAGTCGTGTGCAAGCAGCAGCAGCGGGGGGAGCCTGACATCAGTTTAAGAGGATCAGGGGAATGAAGAGTCTCCAGATAGAGTGGGTTACATGACCGAGAGAGGGAGATAATATGTGTGTTTGTGTGTGTGTGTGAGTGAGTGAGCGTTGGTCCGCTGCGCCACTCTATCCTCAAAGGTTATCCTTGGTCACATGACGCGCGAACACGGCACACGCCTGAGTTAATTTGATCATACATGTACGGTTGAAGCTAACGCACATTACGCACCGGCAATTACGCACAAAGCAGCTGAAACGCTGGTCACTCAAGTGGTGCTCAGTCTCTGTGCTGTCACCAACACTCAAGAACACGCGTTTATCATAGAAATGAGCACACTCATGATTTTGCATCACATGCTCAGATATAACATGAACACGACCTCCTGTGACCCTTGTGTCGTCTCTCCAAAATGACACTACAGTGATATCATTTCTGTCACGTTGAGAGTGATTTACAGTAGCCTTTCCAAACTACTCGCGTGTTGATAACCCGCAAAGAAACGCAGCAGAAATATCTGTTGGATGAATTGCGCCACCGTGTGTTTAATCTTGTGAAACACAACGGTTCAAATCACCAACTACGACCATGAGCAGGCAGTTCTGAGGCATGGTTTGATTTTTCTACAAGGTTATCATGGTGGTCTAAACTAAGAAGTATTTTTTTATCAAGAGTGAGACAGATTAAAGGGTTATTCCGGCGTAAAATTAAGTCAGGGTCAAACACACCGTAATTTAATAATTTCTTCATGGAAATGCAATCAAACAGGGACGCTAAGGCAGAAGAACTACCGAGTCTGCAGTGCAAAATGACTAACATGATGATTATTACTTAAAGGAAATGATAAAGAAACATTTCTTTATCATCATTTGATTATAAATGTTCTTCCTTGAGCTGCGTCACGCAGCAAGTCCATAATGGACTGGCCCGAGGTCTCCGTACAAACAACCGGCTGCTGGAAGAGATACGGTGAGTTGTGTTTGGTCTCAAACATCGGCTCTTATCTCTATAGGGTACATCATCAAGGCAGCGTTTTATCTACAATTGTTGTCGGGACATGCAACAAAAAATGAGCACGACTAACCAGTAAATGGTACAGGGTTCTTAAAGGTTTTCATCATTATGGCGTAGGAGGCATTTTGAAAAGACAGTTACCTTAAGGAATAAGTGCAACACATAACATTAGTTTTTTTTAGTTTTTTGAACGGGGAGAAGTCAATCTCAGATCTCCAGCTTTGACTTCCATTCTCACCATGGACTTATATTAACACCTGATAGGCAAGCCACTGCTCTCATGCTTGTTTTGACATTATTCTTAACTGGAATGTTGGAGTTGTGTTGTCAGAAGTTTATAGAATAAAACAAAAATGTTCATTTTACTCAAACATATGCCTATAAATAGCAAAATCTGAGAAACTGAGTATTTTACTGTGGTCTGTTAATTTTTTCCAGAGTCCTTTTGCATAGAAAATGCCATATGAACATAAAGACAACAAGAAAAAGTCTGTCACTAGTCTATCGATTGAAACACTGTCAAATGTTTTATGGCCTCAACTGAAGGTGTGCCAGGAGAGTGAAACTTCTGATATAGATCAAGACATTTTTTCTTATTATTATCCACAAGGCCAGCTAAATAAATGTTATAAAAGTACAGTATCAAACCATTTCTCTGAGGTACATATTACACTCTATAACTGGCATGTAGCTGTCTGAAAGGTAGTTCCTATGACAGGTAATCCATGATTACCACCTGAAGTAGGCTATTTAATTGGACTTATTGAATACAATACTGACCTCTGTTGGCTTGTTTGTGTAAAAGCATAAGCGCAAATTCAAATCAATCACATGCATTTCATTGGAACATCATGAAATCCATACAGTTGAAAGTCTTGTAATGGTGACTGACAATATTTAAAAAAAAAAATATATATATATATATATATATATATATATATATATATATACACTCACCGGCCACTTTATTAGGTATACCTGTCCAACTGCTCGTTAACACTTAATTTCTAATCAGCCAATCACATGGCGGCAACTTAGTGCATTTAGGCATGTAGACATGGTCAAGACAATCTCCTGCAGTTCAAACCGAGCATCAGTATGGGGAAGAAAGGTGATTTGAGTGACTTTGAACGTGGCATGGTTGTTGGTGCCAGAAGGGCTGGTCTGAGTATTTCAGAAACTGCTGATCTACTGGGATTTTCACGCACAACCATCTCTAGGGTTTACAGAGAATGGTCCGAAAAAGAAAAAATATCCAGTGAGCGGCAGTTCTGTGGGCGGAAATGCCTTGTTGATGCCAGAGGTCAGAGGAGAATGGCCAGACTGGTTCGAGCTGATAGAAAGGCAACAGTGACTCAAATAACCACCCGTTACAACCAAGGTAGGCAGACGAGCATCTCTGAACGCACAGTACGTCGAACTTTGAGGCAGATGGGCTACAGCAGCAGAAGACCACACCGGGTGCCACTCCTTTCAGCTAAGAACAGGAAACTGAGGCTACAATTTGCACAAGCTCATCGAAATTGGACAATAGAAGATTGGAAAAACGTTGCCTGGTCTGATGAGTCTCAATTTCTGCTGCGACATTCGGATGGTAGGGTCAGAATTTGGCGTCAACAACATGAAAGCATGGATCCATCCTGCCTTGTATCAACGGTTCAGGCTGGTGGTGGTGGTGTCATGGTGTGGGGAATATTTTCTTGGCACTCTTTGGGCCCCTTGGTACCAATTGAGCATCGTTGCAACGCCACAGCCTACCTGAGTATTGTTGCTGACCATGTCCATCCCTTTATGACCACAATGTACCCAACCTCTGATGGCTACTTTCAGCAGGATAATGCGCCATGTCATAAAGCTGGAATCATCTCAGACTGGTTTCTTGAACATGACAATGAGTTCACTGTACTCAAATGGCCTCCACAGTCACCAGATCTCAATCCAATAGAGCATCTTTGGGATGTGGTGGAACGGGAGATTCGCATCATGGATGTGCAGCCGACAAATCTGCGGCAACTGTGTGATGCCATCATGTCAATATGGACCAAGCTCTCTGAGGAATGCTTCCAGTACCTTGTTGAATCTATGCCACGAAGAATTGAGGCAGTTCTGAAGGCAAAAGGGGGTCCAACCCGTTACTAGCATGGTGTACCTAATAAAGTGGCCGGTGAGTGTATATATATATAGTTATCTGATCTCAATGTAAGGTGAAAGACAACACTTTCAGTCTTGCAGGTTCATGGAACGCTTCTACTAAACTAAAGTAACTATTGAGACAAGCAAATGTTACAAGAACAGTACTTTATTATCAAAGCAGAACTCAACAGCTGATGTATAGACTGTTCATTTTACTAACATTTACAACTTTTCAAAGTGTTTTAAATACAAAACAGTCTCTTGTAAAATGTAAATCCTATGGCTCTGTGGCATGAAAAACAAACTTTAACATGGCTTTAGGTTGTAATCCCAACAAAAAACACCCCCGGGTGCTACAGATACAATCATGGGTCCTTAAATTTCATGAGATCTGTTGTAGATTGTTTGACGCAGTTACAAAACAGAGAAACCCACACCTTTATGTGAGCTAAAATAGGTGGATAGTTTATGATGGCTGGATCTTTAACCCGTAACGACGGCAAAAGCCGTCACCTGAAGGCTTACTGGTCAGTGATGAGGTCAGAGTGATGGATAAAAGAAAAAAAACTTTATGTAATGAGCTTGGTAGCAGCTAATAATGAAAATTTTGCTAGATTATGTAAAATATCAAACGATTTGGAAACTTTCACATCACTGATACTGGCAAATAAAGTTTCTACACTGACATCATTACAAGTGAAGCTACTTTTGCAGCTTCACTTAAAGCTGTAGAAAGCATTATACTTTTACTTTACTGCCATTTTTTTATGTTCTTATTGAAGATAAGACTTGACTTGACTTGAATTGATGTTCTTGTCAGCTATCATCAGCTGCTACAAAATAAAATGATCAGGCATGACTTATGCTTAACATTGATTTGACTATTTTCCCTGTAGCTCTGAACACTCTTGTCTCTACATTTTGGAGAGCTCAGCAGGTTGTCTATACTTGAAACAGTTGATGCTTTGAAGGCATTATAGATTTTTAACAAAAAGCACACCAAAAATAGAATCTATTTTCTTAGTCTACATTTAGTCTTCTATCAAACAATAGGAGACCTGGAGAATACAGAGAGTAAATGCATCAAACAGTAAAATTAAACTCTCTTTTCTCCCTGTATGTCAAATCAAACAAAGCCAAATAAATTAAATTAATGCAAAAAAATTAAATCACAAAACATTAAAAATAATTTAAATAAAACTAAATTAAAAGACTGCAAAGAAAAATGGAAACCTGCATCATGTGGGTTATCCTTTCAAAAACATTTTTTTTTTTTGGTTTGCATTTTTTTTTTCTTGAAAAATTCTGTACAAAATCAAAGAAAGGAAGCGGCTCTGAGTGAGCAATGCATCAGTTTGGTTCAACTGCTGGTTTCAGCTCACAGAAACTGTACCTCTGCACTATCTATTCCTGAAGAAGTGGGCTCTCCAATTCTTTTACAGACACAGAAGTTAGTTAGAACAATTAGGATGAAAGAAACTAGACAGTGAGTAAAACCAGAGATGGGGGAGAAATGAGTTTAGGGTGAAGCAGACCATTAGATCTACGGACATCAAGCCAAAAATATCTGGCTGTTATTTGAGTTTTATTGAGCCTGGAAGTTTGGTAATTTCCCCTTGTCCACAAAGCTTTAGGAGTATTTACCTTTTTGTTTACTCTTTAAAAAAATAACTTCACTTCTATGGAAGACTTGATACGTTGGAAAATGTTGAATGGACTTGAAGCACCTTCTCAGCTTATTCTCCTGAAACGATAGGGGTCTCAGTAAAACCAGAAGAGGTTGTGTTTAGTGTCTTAAATACAACTCAATTTTGTTGTCAGGCTCTGAGTATTTTTGACTGAGATTAAACCTAAATGACTCATCTATGAGTAAAAAAAAAAATCTCCCTGATAGAAAGTTACATTACTTGGTTGACTAGACTTGTGTGAGCACAACGGCAACAAAATGTACTTGAAATTAGAACAACCTCTTCTCTTGAGCAGGGGATTGTGTTCAAATTTCCCTTTACCTCCCATTAGATCTGCTCTCTCCAAAAAGTCTGTCCTCTCATGCGAGCCCCTGAACTATGATTAATATTTATTTGTCATCACTGCTTTCCCTTTAATTTCTATGATTTTAACCTCCAGGACACTGATGTGCATATCAGTTTATTCACAGTTTACTTTCCTGATAAAGGAGAAATGGTGGTTAAAAAAGAAACAAAAGTCATGTAAAGGTTCTTTTTGAGAGAAAAGAGATTTTTTTCTCCAGGTTAGGGGGAGTAGCTCTCGTAGAAAGCCCGAAGAAGCTCAGACGCATCATCATCATCATCATCATCATCATCATCATCTGATGACGCTTGAAAATCTGCTGCATGAATATAAACATAACAAATACTGTCAGTATACACTTCCATGTTAAGCCTTAGGTTTATGTGTAAAATGCAGGTAGTATTCTGATGTATTATCAAAGTGCTAAAACTCATTGGCTCCCTCATTAAAATTCATCACTTAACAGCAAAATTAACAAGGTCTACAATGTCGCCCTTTCCCAGCTTCACACCAGATTCAGCAACCAGTCTGTAAGGTTGAGGCTTCTCTGTTGCTTTTGCTTTTAGACAAACTTTGTTACTTACACAAATCGTCCGATGACCCTTCATTGCTTCCATGCGACTGCTCTGAGACTACTGAATCCTCGTTGTCACTTCCGTCCCCGTTGTCATCATTGCTGTTGTCATCCAGATGATCTGCAACCTTAGAGGAGGTGTTTAAAACAAATACTCAAGCAGAGTCCGAACAGAAAACAGACAGTATAATAAAAATAGAGACAAAGATGAATAATGTACACATTTTAACCCCTCAAATATATTTTCAGATTTTGTATTTGTGGGTTAAAATTGGATAAAAGACTCAACAAAATAATTAAATGGTAGTATTAAAGATGAGCAGGTAGGTTGAGCTGTGTACGTAAGTTGGTTTTGGGGGCAAAAATAAAAGATGACTTAGAGCTGTCTTTGAGCTCCAGAGAGATAAAAAAAATTTATAACAATTTTTTTCTTGAGTTTGAATTGAAAAAAAAAAAAAAAAAAAACATATAGACAAGATAAAACCTGAAAATTAACAAAAAGACTTTCAGGCTCTACAGCCAAACTCTTTCCCACCAAAACTTTCCAGCAACTACGACTCAGCAGGTATGGTGATTGTGGTTTGTTGTGAAAAGAGCTATCAGACTGACTCGTTTTTAAGCCACAGCATCTCGTTACCTCTTCATCTGAGGAAGAGTTTTCTTGGTCCCCTTGTTCTGCATCATCAAGGTCTTCATTACTGTTCAATTCCGCTAGGATCCGATCTATGTCTAAATCATCCATATCACCTTGATATGTGTCTGAGGAATCGTCATCCTGGTCCTCATCCTGCAGGAACATCACAAGCATTAGAGATAAAATATCAACCACATGAGCAGAATCGGACACACTGCTGCAGTTTTTTTTTACACTTATGCAAGAGGCACCATATTACTCTTGGAGGCACCTTGACTTTGGATTAACCCTCACACACACACGCACTGATTGTGACGAACACTTTGAGATTGCGAAAATAATGCTACTGTGATCTACTGTTAAAAAGAGTTCAGTGTGCAAGCTACCTGCAAGCTTAATTATCCTTTAACTATTGGCCAAAATACACTCCCTACTATAAAACTGATATTTTCAAGTTAACCAAACCAAACATGGACTGATGTAAAGACCGTCACCTGTTCAGGCCTTTAAGTCTCACCTGATCATCATCGTCTCCCTCTTCTGCCAGTTTGTGTCTCCCGATCTCGTACAGGCGACACACTGTGTCCATGCTCACTGTGTCCTGATTCTGCAGCATCAATGAGGGAAAAAAAACTGATACTGAACATGTGGATTCAAATGTGATCAATGGGATGAAATATTACTAAAATATGACAATTGTGGAAAAAATGCTAACTCATTTTTAAAACAAAAAAGGTATAAACAACTACAACGTGAAAGAAAAATAGCTGATCAACAAAAAGTTATCAAAGATCCTGGAAAGGTTCATTTGAAGTGGTGAGCAGGAAGACAAACCTCAAACATTACCAAATCTTTGAACTCAATATCTTTCATTTTTAGATTTATGTTCTTGGACAGTGACAATAATTTTCACATAAGTTCTAGCTAGATTAGGGACCAAATTTCAGCGGAGTACCTCGATGACAGCCAGGTAGCAGTCTTTACTGTCGGTACACAGGTCAAAAATGTTTTTCTTCACATCAACAGTGGCTGAAAGAGAAGGAGAAAGAAACATAACTGTGTTCAGTTTATCTGCAGACCAGATGATCCGACCTGGACCTACAGTCCTTCAAAAAAACTCAAGGGAAATAAACCAACAGAGACTTTTAAAAAGTCCAACATCACAGTTAAACACTTTTTGAATCTCAAACAAAGATTAGGAAAATTACAGACAAAGAAATGTACTTTAGCTGACAGGTTTGTTTTTAGTCTGTACTAAACCTTAAAGCAGCCTACCAATGGGTTTGTAGTCTGTTGCATCAAAGGTTCTGAAGGAGGAACCAAAGGGACTCTTGATCTGCTCTTCCATGGCCTCAACTTCATCATCTGCCTGCAGCATGGCTGGAAGAGACACACCACAGCAGGTCACTCGCTGTGCATTCATTTGCCTTGTTCTCATTTAGTCAGAAAAAAACACATGTTGCTTTAGAAGTATTTAACAGATCACTCTTAGTGCACATGCGCAGCACACACACAGCTGACTGAATCAGCTTGTAACAATGACAAAAAGCAGCCCATACATACCTCCATACATGATGGTGGCATTGCTGTTGAAGACCAGTCTGCACTGGTCCAGAGCTGGGACAGTATGCAGGAGGTGGAAACTCCTCAGGTCCCACTGACAGACACACGCTGTCAAGGCTCACAACAACAGATCGACACAGATGTGTGGAGGTTCAAAGTGACAGAGGAGAAATATAGAAAAGAAACAGTGTCCTAATTTCATCCTTTTTATGTTATACAATTTTAAATATCTTATCAGTTTGCTTCTAAAACTTCCCCATAGGCTGGTGCCCCAAATAGAAGTGCCACAGTTCTCCACAGAAAAGCTGCTAGTTCAACTCCCAACCAAGGACCTAAGCTGCATGCCTTCCCCTGCTCTCTCTACTCCACACAATTCTGGTTTCTCTGCAGCTGACCTTTCTAATAGAGGCCAAAAAGACCAAGATAAAATCAAAACTTAAACTGGCTCCAGTAAAGAATAACAAAGGTAAAGAGATAAACGTACAGACATAATCAGGCTGGAGATAAAAAAAAAGATATCTTCTTAGTAGTGAGAATAATAAATGGCCATGTATTAAAGATATGATAACTTTCAAAGTAAAAGATAAAAAAAATACGATTAATCATTTGAATTTGAAATTGACACAAATATTTCTTGCTATCCTTAATTCATTATTTTCAGATTACCTTCAAATAATTATTGAATGCAGACATGGATTAAACAAGAGAAAACTTATATTGTCCTGAATATTGCACCTGGGCTGTGGTGCGCTTGAAGGTAGGGCTGGGTGATAAACTGAAAATTTACCGATATCTAAATTTGTCAATAACCGACATCATTATGCCCATATTGTTATATTCTGTGTCAAAAACATAAATAAATGAAAGTTAGTTTTGGATGTGTGTAGGTAGGTTTGGTCTCATGTCCCTTTAAGACGCTGTTCTACGTGGGAGACATGACTCCACCCCATCCAGTCGGTAAGAAAAAGGGAAAGACAGGTCAAATCAGAGGATACAATCTCCGTGTTGATAATGACCTCCAGGTCATTGGGATGGAAAACCCCACTGATGTTCATGTTGAATTTGTCAAACTTGTGGATGGCTCGAGGTGTCCGGACGTCCCACAGCACCCCGTCATTCAGCACCAGCTCGTCTGTGGGGCTGAAGGTGGCACAATTCCTCTTATAGTTATTGGCCAGGGCGGGATCATTCAGGGTCAGAGTCTTCTGGCCTGTCTGAATGTCATAGATCTACAACACAAAAGATAAGTTGTACAAAAATAACAAAAACCGGGTTGTAAAGCAAAAAGATGATGAATATTGTTAGTTTCTGCAAGAGTGCAACAGAATCTAAAAACTCTGCTTTATTTGCCATGGTAAGCCATAATTCAGTACTATACATGCCACCAGTCACAACTAACCCTGCAGTTTCCCAAACTTGATAGAGTCGAGGAGCTCTGCTCTCTGCCTCTACAACCCAAATACTTGGGAGTTATCCCAGAATAAATTGAAGCTGACCGCATTACAAATGGTGGTGGACGGCTCTTCTCTCTTCGCTGCAGGACAGAAAGATTTAGAAGATCTTTTTTACCAACAGCCATCCGGCTTTATAACTCTTATGTAAATAGTAGATAACTTTTATACACATATTACATGAGACAACAGACAATTGAATTTCCCTTCGGGAATCAATGAAGTTCTTCCTCTTCTTCTTCTTACTAAAACAGGGTCAATTCCATATTTTTTTCCGGATTTTGTTGGTTTCATATGTTTTATTGCTCAATTCATAAGTATTTTATTATCAAAGATTCCCCCAACATCTCATAATGTTATTAATTTTTCTGTTTTATTCTTGTTCCCTCTCTTATTGCTCCCTCTTAGCCACTCTGATTTGTTTGTTTATTGATGTCTGTACTTTGCTTTTAAATTACTGTGTAAAAGGAGAAAATAATAAAATTACTTTAAAATAGAGGAAAAGAGAAAAATGTTAGTTTTTACAAACTTGGAGGGAAGAGACAAAAAAAAAAAAAAAACAGAAGGAAAAAAAACAAAGTCCATTTAAGTAACATACATGTGCGACTTGGTCCTTGGTGCCGATCACCCTGTCCTGAGAGAGTTTACTGAACTCAACATAGTTGTCTTCTGCAAATGAGTGCCTGAGAGAAAAAAATCAAAGATGTCAGTAACTTCAAACAGCTGCAGAAATAAGAACTTCTGAGACTGTGAGTGTGTGTGTGTGACAGGTTTACCTTCTGCTGAAGACTCTGTCTGTGCTCCACAGAGCTGACAGGGGTTCACTCCAAGGAGCAGAGGTGAGCAGAAGATTCCCATCCTTATCAAGAAACATACAAGATTTCAAATGCAGGTTCACTCCATATTCTTTTACAAAAACTTCATTCATAATAAGAGAAGAAAGACGGGCAAGAAAGCGTTATCAACCAATTCTCAGATGTAGCTGCTGAAGTGAGCATCCCATTCTAAGTCAGGAGTGGTTTAGAATTAAAGGGATATTCCGGCATAAATTGAAGTCATGATCAGACACACCGTAACACCGAGTTAGACACTCCCTCAAGAGATGAATTTGGATGAGCACTTGCTTCTCTAGTTATACCAACTTCAGCAACAACCGTACAATAGCAATACACAGTGGTCTACATCTTCACGTGCAAACCTCAACCAAAAAGCCACTCTATAGCCACAAATAATGCTCAGAACAGCAACTAACTTCATCAACAGTACATATAGGGATGTAGCACATAGTACTAGCCACCAAACATCTTTTTAGCTTTGCCTAATTTCTTTAGCAAAGAGACTAAACCCAACACAGCCCTGACGAGTTGATCACCGAATGCAGCGGAAAAATTATGATTATTACTTCATGGAAATGCAATCAGACCAAGACACTGAGGCAGAAGAACTACAGCGTCTGCAGTGCAAGATGATTATTATGATGATTATCACTTCAAGGAATTGATCAGCTGCACTCATTGATCGACTCGTCAGGGCTCCCCCCACAAACAAGCGGCCTACTGTATGACACCATGACACATGAGTGCATGTTTGTGTACCCTGGAGGGTTCGAGGTTTGTGATGGCTGATATGTGGCAGGCGTGGCTGGCCTCCTCCTGTCCAGAGAAGACGTTAAAAAACTTGAGGTGACCCGAGTAAGTTCCCAGCATCAGGAAACGGTCACTGGCTGAGAAGGCACAAGAGGTATAGCCGCCCTCGTGGAAGATGGACATCGGACGAAACCTGGACCAAGAGTTACAAAAAGACAAATGATGAAAGGGGTTATGTAGAAGTTATCGTGCTTTTTCAAACTCGTTTTACAGACCTTACTGTGATTTTTAAAAGACAAGTTTTGGCTCAAAATGAAGAGGCTTCAAGATGTAAAACAATGCAAAAAAAAACAAAAAAAAAACATTATATCAGCTAAAAGTATCTGCTTCTACCTGCTAAACATGAGATGTCTATCCAGACACCCTCTGTACATTCCTCTGTATTTGGGGTACAGCACTCTGCTCCCCAGGCGGGCAGTGAAATTGGGTGACGCCTGCCTCTTCTGTTTGGGTTCAGGGCAGCGGTGAGGGTTGAAGAGGGAGAACGGGGGACAGGTGGTGACAGGGTTTGGGCAGCGAGCGTGTTGCTCCCTCAGATACTCTGTTATGATGCTGTCGAGGGTCGGCGGGGAAGGGAGGAGGTGTTCTGGCTGCTTCTTCATGGCTGGAGTCTGAGCAGGAGAGAAAAATGAAAAATGGTATCTGCTACGAGTTCATGTCGATACTTGAACAAAAGAATAACAAAGCGTGGTAAATGCTGTTTTAATGTTACTTTCTGGCTGTTGTTTCAGGAAAAATAAAGCAACATTAAAACATGAGAGCAGCAAAAATCCGACCTGTATGAAAGCACCGTGGTCAGACTTCGGTTTTAGACAGCGAAGTTTTCTCCCTGAGTTGGATGTGGCCATCGGGCGCTCCCGTGAGAATAAAATCCGCCCAGCCAGAGGTGAGCTCTGTCCTGGAGGTGTGTTGTGACAGGAAGGATGAGGAGGCAGGTGGAGAGCAGAGGTGGATAAAGGGTTACATGACGCTTGAGAAATGACAGGGGAGCGAATTGTAGGGGCGGAGGGGGCTGAGGACACAGGAGAGGATCCAACCCAAGTCCCCAATCTGCAAGTCCTTGGGATCACCGAGGAGGGAGGAGGGGTGACACAAGAGGAGGAGGAGCTTAGGCAGAGGGATGTTACAGGTAGATTTGCCTCCCTAACGAGAGTGTTTGCCGTGTCATGAAGCCCTTTGGCTGCCAGGTGGTTTCTGATCAGCACGAGCAGCTCCTTCTCAGGAAAGATGATCCGTGATTGGGCGACTACGTTTGCTTTCTGCAGACGAGCCAGAGAGACGTCAGTGCCTATGAGGAAAGGTTTTCCTGACACTCGCTCTGTCAGCTCTGCTGCATATCTGCAGAAACGGACGTGTTCACTTCGTTTGTCCTGCAGGACTGGCTCCTTCATCAGCTGGGGAGATAAAATGATAAAAGATATGTGAGAAGTCTGAGTCGATTAGAGTGTTTTATATTTTTCTTGAACTATGTGTTGGAATTTAGAAATTAGAGAAATAAAAGCGTCTAAAAATGCCTCAAACAATAACCCAAGAACACATGGTGTATACAGCTGCAATAGTTGAAGTACATGCTCAGAGATTTTCCAGACCGGCAGAGCTGGTGAGTCAGTAGCTGCGTTTATACAAAGTAAATTAGTCGTTAATGCACGTCATCTCTGACATCTGCATTTGACTTCATTATTGATGTTTCTCATTCCGCGATAAAACCTTGACTTTGAAGAGTTCTAGTTTCATGCTCACCTGTTGGATGTGGCCGCTGGTGAAGAGCGGCAGTTTGCTGATGATCTGTTTGATCGCTGAGCTGCGTGAGAGTCCAACCAGCGCTTTGCAGGCCAGAGCACGAATCAGGTCTGCGTCTGTGATCGGCATCTTCACTGACAGCAGAGACAGAAGCACCTGGAGGAGAGGGACGTGAGAGGATTTGATGAGCGTTTTAAGACACATTTCTTTGAAACAAATATTAATTTGTGAAATTTCCCTTTAATTCTTACCTTTATGCCATTGTTGTTCTGCACTACCTGCCACATGTGGACCAGCACTCTGTTATGTGGAGCAGGGGGCTGCTTGAGGTGGGGGGGCGGTCTGAGGGGGTTGACGGCAAAAGCACCAGATGTGTTCTGGTCGGGGGCGCACACACAGTTTATTACGACCTGAAGAGACACAAAGGAGGAAAAAAACGGAGGAGAGAAGGTTTGTTAGAGAGGAAACAAACACAGAGAAATGAAAATGACACTCCTGCATGCTGGGCTACACTTCTATTCCATACTTTCATCTGGTAAATTAATAAAGTACATTGATTTAAGGAATCTGATCCGTCTCGGTCTGTTGTTGGACTCACTGAAACCAGGAGGTCATATTTTTGAGCTCAATGTTAAAGGGAAGGGATATTCTGACGTAAATTTAAGTACACATCGTAACACTGGTTTAGACACCCCCTCTAGAGATGAATGTTGCTGACCGCTTGCCTCTCTAGTTATACCAACTTTAGTAACAATCACACGATAGCAATACACAGCAGTCTATGTCACCACGTGCAAACCTCAATGAAAACGCCACTCTATAACCACAAATAATGACAGCACCTAACTTCATCAACAGCACATATAGTGTCCCAGAGTATGAGCCATCAAACAATTTTTTAGCTTTGGCTGGTTCCTTTGACGAGTCAATCAACAAGTGCAGGGGATCATTCTTTGAAGTAATAATCATCATATTAATCATTGTTCACTGCAGACATGGTAGTTCCTCTGCCTTAGCGTCTCGGTCTGATGCTATTTCCATGAAGAAATGATCATAAATGTTCATCCTTGAGCTGCGAAACTCCACTGCTCTTGGGGATCAACTTGTCAGGGCTCACTGTAGAATGGCCTTTTGGTTGAGCTTTTGGGCATGGAGACGTAGACCACTGTGTATTGCTATCCTGTGGCCATTGCTGAAGTCGGTATAACTAGAGAAGCTAGCAGTCGGCAACATTTATCTCTCAGGGGGGTGTCAAACCCGGTGTTACGGTGTGTTTGACCATGACTCAAATTTACGCGGGAATATCCCTTTAAGGATGTCTAGAGGAAGAAATCTTCCTAACACTATACAGCTGGCCTGACCTACACATAGAAACAGAGTGAACCACTTCATACATTCAAAACATTGCTCACTAAATGGAGACGTAGTGAAAATCGAACTAAATATCTGTAGTAAACTTAAAGATGCCAGTGTCAAAGCTTTTTTATTTCATGCCATGTCCACCTGAAACAAACATCTAAACTCAGTGAACCAAGTTCATCAGGTCAGTCATTAGATCACACCAAATGTTAAACAACTGAGGGTTTTGGCCCCAAGGTGCTGCAAAAACGGCTGAGCTGAAATTTTTGGCCGTCAGTATTTGCTGCACTGAGATTATTTATAAGCACTATATCTTTTGATTGTATATACTGTATATGTATAAATATGTTGTTTCTTCTGCTTATTGCAATGGTCATCATCTTTCAATTACTTTTAAACTATTTTTATTCCTGCTGTTTTTAGTCTCCCCACTGGTTTCTTATCATTTTTAGTCCTGTTTTTACCATTTTTCTATGTTTTATATTCTCCCTCCCTTTTCATTATTACTCTTATTTTACCTTATCTTATTGTAGTAACTATGTATTTAACACTCTTTCCTTCTCTTTTATCCATCCTCTGTCCACCGTCTTCTTTTCCATCTTCCTGATGTGATGCCATCAACCGTCAATTTTTAACTGTCAATTTACTTTTGTTTGTTTAATCTGTTAAAGCACTTTGTAAACAGCTGTTTTTAAAGGTGCTACACATAAAAATAAAGTTATTATTATTATTGTTATTTATGTACCTCAGTCACTGATACGTCTCTCTTTCACTGATACTCTGATTGGTGGTGCTCAGAGCACTTTTTTGATCATGTTTTTATGTCTAAAATTTTCTTGTTTATTTTGATGATTTTATGGAGGTTAATGTTACAGTTCTAACTGGGTGTCAAACTGTATGTCGTCATCTTACTGCAGAACGAATCCAGCTGTCAGCGCGAATGAAGAAATGTGAATCTGGATTTGAACCATGCTGCTGGCTGAACTATCAGCTGTTATAGTTAAAGACATCTGCTTACTTGAAGTGCAGATTTCTGGATCTCAGCGTCATTCACAAACACCTCGCCCTCTGCAACACCCAGAATGATGCTCATACCTGCAGCAGATATAGAAAAGTCACACTGAAGTACATCTATAGACCTTTTCACAAATGTGAAACTAAAAGAGAAGAAAGAGCAGTCTTACTGACCCACAGTGGAAACAGGAGAATTCATCTCATCCAGGACCTCCACAGTGTCTGCCAGCACTAACTGTACTTTGGGAACCACCACAAGGATAGCTAGGATGTCCAGAGCGTATCGCACTGTGTCACTCCTGAAGGGGCACGTAGGTCCAGAGAGACAGGATGAGAAATGAAATGAGAAAAGATGCAGTAAATCAGAAATGTCTAAATACATTAACATGGATGAACAGGAGAAAACAAACAACATTATTAAAACATGAGAGCAAACAACTACTGTTTTGGGATTTCCTGCCTTAATGAGTGACCAAACCATGATTGTCAAAAAGTCTGCATATGAAAGGACTTCGCTTTACCTGCCGTAGTAAGTCCTCCAGTCACATGCTAAAGATATTAGCTGCAGCAGTAAAGGGACACAGGACAGTTTATAGAAAACCTCCACCGGCTCCCAGAAGAGCTGAGGAGGTCCACACTCGATGAGGAACTCCACCATCTCGATAATCTGCTCTCTGGTGTAGGTACACGCCTGGAAAAAAAGGAGATACCCACACAAAAGTTTGATACCTGAAAGTATAAACATTTCCGGTCCCAAACTTTGATGCTGATAAATAAATCGTATACCTTGGTGCTCCCGTCTGATGAATGCAGAGATTGTTTAACCTGTTCAGTCTTTAATGCCAGGTGAGCCTCAAAGTACCTGGAAAAAGTCAGTTACAATCAATTCAAACATCAACTTGGCCAAGCAGTCAAATTGTACACTCCATGTAGTCCTTGAAATAGGCAGCCTAGGTTTAACTCCAGCCTGCAGCTCTTCATTCATCACCCTCTTTCCCAGGTTTCTATCCTCTCCACTGTCCTAGCCTTAATAGCTCGAAATGTAACAATGACACAAAATGTAATAAAACCTGAAATAATAATGTAACAAGATGCTGAGTTATAACTTAAAAAATGTATGTTCTGTGTCATACATTTCTAAAGTTTGTCCACAGCTCCACATAGGGATTGCTGGAGGAGGCAGGATTTATGACCTATGCTGCAGCACATCACCAGAGGGTGCTGTTCTCATGGTGGCTTCACCCAGCGAGGAGGCAGACAGTGTCCATTCTATATACAGTCTATGAGTTGAGTACATCAAATCTTTTTCTCACTTGATTTTAAGAGAGACACTTCCAAGGCCTATTATACAGACCCCTGTTTTGTCAGAGAAAAGTTAATGAGTTATTTTAGTTCAACTAAAGTAAAGCTGCTTGCGATTGGTATAACCCTACAAAAGAAAAGGGCCAAAGATTGACCCCTGAGGAACACCATGATGGCCAAGCAGCTGAGGAAGCACTACAATAGAGCTACCAACATTCATGAACCTGGCAGATATTCATTCATCTATCCTTCTACTGTCATACCTGCGCAGGGCCATGCAGGTGTGTTTGGCTGTCTGTCTGCCAGAGAAAACCAGGTCATCATTCAGTATGGAGTCTATTTGCGTGATGTCAAGGATCTCCAAAGTACTGATCTACAAGGTGACACATCAGAATGCAGTTAAAGCTTTTGATAAATAAATAGGGACAAATTAATTTGATAAATTTAGCAAAATGGAATATTCCACTTTTGAAATATGATGCAAGATAAAAGATTTGACACTGACCAAGTTGACCAGCCTCCGCAGGCCATCTTGGCGGTCGAAATGCTGCAGCACCGCTCTGAAAGAAAAAGAAATAGAGAAAAACATGGTGGCGTGACAGACGCCTGAAGCGTGGGACGACTCCAGTAGCCACAGAGCGTAGGACACCATGTCTGAAAGCACGCTATCTTGGAGGGTGCACACCTACAAATACACAGAAACAAGAAAGACAAGGAACAGAGAGCAGCCGCTGAGTCTTAGTTGTTATAACTGTAACAAGAAACTAAAACTTTGAATGAACCCTTAGAAAATTCATTTTCATTTAGGTCTACAACTCTGATGAGCGTGTCTCTTTTGTGTGCTTCCTTTACCCTCTCTAGAGCATCCTGGTTGTATGCCAGGTAATACAAACAGAGCGAGACTCCAGTTGCCGCCATAGACGGCCTCGGGATCTCCAGAAGTTTCTGGACGCCTCCCTGAGAGATGAACTGAGCTGCAAACTTCTTGTGGAGGAGCAATGAGGCCAAATACTAAAGACAGAGAGAAAAAGGGCATCTTTGATTACAGTAAAGAATATCACTTTAGTTTTCTTAACATGTTCTACATATAACGGCATTTTGCAAAAGTCACAAAAATCTGGTTTGGAGTATCTAGATGGGCACAAAGAACATGTTCAATATTTGAACTTCTTTCAGAATGAATGAAGAGGCAATGAACCATGTTAATCTTGAACAGAGAGAGCTTGTTTTGGAGACATAAAAGCTCTAGTCTCTCCACAAGAAAACTACTATTTTATTAATTTTGTTGTTATTGAGGGAAGTGGGTTAGTTTTAAAACTTTTTTGTCATACACAGAAATCCCTGTCACGGTATAATGATCCTCCAGAGCCCTGAATAAAAATAGGCGAAGATGTAGACAATCATTAGATGTCAACAGGTGAGGCCTCCACTGAATAAAGTTGGTCAATTTAATCTTAGTTGAGCTCAACACAGCCCCACCCTCCAAAGTACAGCTTATCCTTCCCACACAGACATGCTGCTGAGCTGGGAGGAGTAGTCCTGTTAAAGGCTCTTCCAGACCAGACAACATACAGCATACATGTAAATTAGTAGAGTAAAAAAAATCAGGTTATGTTGTGTTTCTCCTCTAGCTGACCTGGCATGAATTGAAAATCCTTTTTACTGATTCTTGTAGAAACTTCACTGATTTAAAACTTTTCACAAACAAGAAAATGTGACGCAAAAATGTTTGAAAGGCTCAAGTTGAATTATCTGACAATCCTTGAAAACTTTTTTGGTCTTTTTTTAAGTTAAGTTTTTAAAAGTCCCTGTTGAATCATGTTATTCGATGGGTTTGAACTGCCGCCACAGTCTTACCAGAAGTGCATCATAGGTGAGCTGGACATTTTTCGTCTTTTTGAGGTCTATGTAGTTCATCAGCAATGTCCAAGTGTCCATCTGCATGAAGACAGCCAGCAGCTGCAGGGACGGGAGAAAGATTGGAGTTACATTAGATCAGCCTGTGTGAGAATTATGTGAAGTGTAATAACATCGTTCAGCACCCCAAAGAAAAGAATCTTAGGAGTTCAATCTACATAAACTCAGGTTTCCATGGCAACTCCAAAGTTTCTATTTCTAAATGAGTTTTTGTGACTTTTGTATTATTAGGGATGATCCTGAATTACGTCTGTGACAGGTGATAACGCATCCTATGGCTGAAAATATGGCAGCAGCAAATTTGTGTTTATCAGTTCCTCCAGCACTTGTCTGAGATTGTTGGGCTCTATTTTGTCATTAAAACTGTTGCGTTCATCAGTCTTGTTTCTTGCAATAAAGAGCAGCCTGAGGTCTCAGGTTTACCTCAAAATATGAAACTTTGCTCAGATTGAAGCTCCTGTGAGGATTTTTTTTTGACATTTATGAAACTCACATTGATGCCTTTAAGCAAAAAAAAACCATCAGCAACAACAAGTCTGACGATTTTAGAAGTTAGTTTTTTTTATGCCTGAAACCAGAGTGAGGGTGTAGGTGTCAGTGGAACCACAGGAGGAAAAGATGAATACATTTGGAATATTCACAGAAAGATATATTTGACTTTCAAAAATCAGCAGGGTGGGATCATTTTGTCAGAAGACACCACTCAAGAAAAGATAAGCAAAAGACTGCTTTGTCCAAAAGGGGGTGCCAGAACTGACACAGAGTTCCACACAGAAGCTTTAAAGTCCCACTCTGATCGTTTTTTTTTTAACTACTTAAAGTGTTCTCAGTGGTCTCTAAATTGTGATTCTGAAGTTTTTTAGCTGAAATCACGTTACCTGTGTCATTTTCTAGAGCTTTTCTTCCGCAGAGTTCCTGTAGCTCATTAGCAATTCGCCTCTGAGTCGTGGGCGGAGACAGCGCTGCTCTGCACACTCCTCTTCACGTTAGCTTACAGCCTAACATTGCCAGTGTAGGAGAAGTAGCAGGTAACATAGGAGCTATTCAGCTCTCGTCTCTCAATGTCTTTGGGGACATGATGAAAGCTAATATCATCTTAGCTTTCTCACGAACATTGCAATCTGCTAACACACACGCTTGTTCCACGATCGTCCTTTCTATTTCTCTGAGTCTGACCTGCATAGCGGGGCTCCAGGGGCGGAGCTTGGATTTGCTATGTAGGAAATCTCACTGTATCTTATCCTGCCGTTTGGGACTGTGAGAGATTCACAGCGATTTTAATGCAGAAATACTCAGAAATGCAATTGCACACTTAGTTTTCTCATGATATATCCTGTAGCATCAGAAAAATTCTATATGAACATTTAGACAACAAGGAAAACATGATTTTCATCAGAGTGGGTCTTTAAGTATTAAAATTCAAAGTTTTGACTCAATACTTGTTTGTAAATATGAAAGAAACACAACACAGACTCTGTACTGCCTTTAGGGGCTCTGCATAATTTTTTTTTTTTTTTAAGTTAACCTGATTTGATTCCTGTTGTTATATTCCAGATGTACTCCAAACAAAAAGAGAGCAAAGATGTGGATGTTTTTTATCCAGTAAACTCACGCTATTGTTACTTTCACTGCAGCACTCTGGGTGCTCTGTGTGTCTCCCCTAAACTTTGCCTGTGTGACGTCTGTTGACCCTTTTCCAATAACAGAAGCACAGGATAAGAGAGGAGGACGACAGTGATAAAGTTGGACATCTGCAAATGCATCTGCAGTCGTCACTGGAGATCTCACTTTGACGCTTCATCTGCAAATAAATACATATTGTCGTCCTCTTCACTTACACTGTGCTTGAGTTACTGAAAAAGCTCAGTTCACATCAGTCATGCAGGGGAGGTTGTAACCATTTGATGTCACAGAAACAGTGGCGGTGTACCGATGAGTTTCTTTCTTACAATTTCTCAGGAAGGTAAACCCATTTTTTTTATGCAGGGTTTCTTTCAAAGGGAGACTGCACTCAAATAAAAGTTTTTATCTTTATAATTTGTGCAGGATTTACCCCCACTATCTGCTCCGTCTCACGGTCAAATTCACAAAGTACATCAAAGCCATCAAGTTTGACTGTTAAGTGCGGTTTGCTCTTGTTTTTCGTTTGACGTAGGCGAGGAACTGCAAGCATCCCCACATTTTGTTTAGTTTTTCTTCCACTCTTAAATACAAACCTTTAACTGTTTCTGTCTACAGACTTACCTCCTGATAATCTCCAAGTGGGGTCAGATACTGCAGGATGAGCCTCTGCTCCATGGCTGAGCTCAGAGGGGACAGGCAGTAGTCTGAACCGAGCATCACTGAGCTCATCTCAGACCAGGAGGTGCTGCTGGTCGGCTGGTCGCTGGATTCATTCTTTTCCAGTTCCTCCTCAGTCCTACTAGAGGAGGAGGAGGTGAAGCTGAGTTTCTTCTTGGCCTTCCTCCCATTCTCATTCGCTACTCCATTGCTTCCTCCTCCTTGTCCTTCCCCCTGCCTGTCCTCCGTCTCTCGAGCAGGAGTCTCCTGGCCTGCTTGGTATACAAACTCTGGGAGCAGGCGGGTTGAGCTGGGTCCACCTCCACTGCTGTTGCTGTGTTTTGGAGCTGAGTCGAGCTGTGACGAAGGTTTGGGACGCTTCGACACCGGCCTGCTGCCATCTTCGTCTCTCTGTTTTCTCTTTTCCCTCTGACCATCATTTTCCATATCTGCCTTTTCTTGCTGGTCTGTTGAGACGCTTGAGGTTTCAGTTGGTTCAACCTGAGAGTCCTGAGGTAGGTTCTGTGGTATTTTGATGGGACTGAAGTGACTCTTCTGGTCTTCTCTCTGTAGCTCTTGCAGGCGCTGAATCATGAGCGGTACCTGGGTGTTGAGAGAAAAAAAGTGATCGCTAAAACATAAAGAGTTTTTGGGACTGTAAGAAGTGAACATGTCTTACAACAGAAATCAGATCCAAAAATCCCCACTCATGTTTTTTGGTCTTTATATGAGGAAAGTTATTGGACAACATGGATTCATATCTACTCACAAATTATAACCCTTAGTGAGCCTACTCTAAAAAGAAGTTTTAAGTGCTTCAAAAAAGTCTTTATTTCTGCCATTATTCACCTCAAATAAACATTTAATATGCGCTCACTGACAAGCTTGTAAATATGGAGAACATTAGCCAGTGAAAGCTGCTGAGGAGAACATTTGGTTTGTGTCTGTTTTGGTACCCCCCTGTGGTCAGAATAATACCTCTTCTCTCTTACCTGTACAGTTCAGAGTAGTATTTTCTGACAAAAAGTCATCCTGATGTCTTTTAAAGGAGAAACGTATCATTCATTGTGAGCATTTGCCATGAAAATGTAAAAAAGGACTGTTTCCTAAGTCTGCTGTCAATCCTCTGGTCTGACATATACTCCTCACAGTAGTTTTAGGCATCAGGCACAAAAATTCTGTCATTCTCAGTCTCATTGTTGATGGTCTCAATACTTTTGAAGGTCATAAAGAGGCGTCCAGATTAGTTTTAGCCATTCTCAGCCAGTTAAGATGTTACAGCAGGAGCCAGAGGGAAAAAAAAGGACAAAAAAAATTCAATAATAAAACCAGAGTCAGTCTTAAAAGAGTAGGCATCATCCGGTTTCTCAACAAAGGGGACCAGCTGACTGGGATCCCCTTTGATGAACAAACCCACTATAGACAAGAGCCTCATACAACCCAACTTCATAAAAACTGAACTCTCCCTTTAATTTAGAACTCGACAGTATGACAGAACTGCAGTAGTTAGAGGATTTAGACTAATCCTGTTTTACCCTCTTCCTTCTTCAGGTCTATCTCAGTGTGGCTTTCCTGCAGCCTGGCATCAACAGACCCATCAGCCAGCTTATTTTCATTTTCCCTGGAAGGAAAGTTTGGACCAGCTCTCATTCTGAACCATGTCCGTCCACTGTCAGATATCCTAAACCAACTATAGTCTTAGATTTGAAAGTGAGGGTGATGACAACTGCAAATAGGAGGTCAGTTAAATCTGCTTGTGCAGCTTTAAACAGACTGGATGATGCATTTTCATTAAACCAAGAACCAACAGCTGCCCATGCAGAGTTCATTTTACAATCTAAGAAAGACGTGTTTCTTTCCTCTGCATGCGGCTATTCTGTTTTTCACGTCTAAAACACAAGCACATGTGTCAGTAGACTTCTTACTGCATATATCCCTCTACTCTTGAACCTACCTGGGACAACTAGGCTAACTTTCCTGGTTAAATAATAGGGATGGGAGGAAAAAATCAATACAGCATAGTATCACAATATTTTTTCTGGTGATACATCTTATAGTCTCATTTACCAAGTATCAATTGTTCAAACTAATTGCTAATATGAGGTCAAATCTATGATAATGAAAAAATAAAATCAACTGTTTGTCCAGTGAGGTTGGCAGAGGTGGACATCATGGAGCAGGAGAAAGTTCATACAACAAATAGGTTTGCAAGATGTGCTACATGAAAATAAAATACTGTGTAAATAAGACAAACATAAAGGAAAGACAAATGCTAAATTAGCTAAACAGTTTTAAAAAAATGTATAAATTGCAATATATTTATCGCAATATTTACTGTATTGCAAAATGTTAAAAATCGCAATAATATCGTACCGTGGCCCAAGTATCGTCATAATATCGTATCGTGGGGCCAGTGGTGATTCCCACTCCTATTAAATACAATAAAATAAATAATAATAATAATAATAATAATAAGGCATGGCTGTGTTATTATGTTGATATAATTGGCATGAATCAAGCTGTCTCTTTCAGTGCTGAGGAAAGTTCATCACTTCAGTTTTATCAGCTACATTACAGTATTTTTACTTTGTTAAAACACAAATAAGTTTTACAAACTAATAAGGTTTACAATCAAGGTAAGATAGGAATGATGAGAAATATGTGTGTCCTTTCCACTGCAGTGCTCCCTGTTTACACAAGAATGTACTGTATGTGATGAAGAAGTCACAAATCGACTTGACCTCATTTCAAATAACAACAAACTCCATACAGTGTAAAACCTTTCCAGAACAAGTTGGACCACATCTGTCAATCGTGCTCCACAGAACTTCCAATAATTTCAGTGCAGGTAAACATGTGAGAGTACAGTGAACAATAAAGCGTGTCAGACCCACCAGCTGTGAGTTCTGTTCTCTGTGGTTGATCGCAGCTTCCTGGTCACCCATGGCTATGGCCAGCAGGCCTGTGCTGTAAACACACAGCGGTCGCTCTGCTTCACGAGCCCAGGTGAACAACTTGTCAACCAGACCGACCTGTAACACACACACGCACGCACGCACGCACGCACGCACGCACGCACGCACACACACAAAAGAGTTGACACATTCACAGGTTGTAGACCCATCAAAGACACACTGATGACACTTTGCTGCTTTAACGTGTCTCAGCATTTTAAGGACAGACATGGAAGATTAATGTCAACTTACAGTGATGTCAATAATTAGTTATAAAGAGTGAACCAGATAAGTGATCTGCTGCAAAGAACCTCACACTTCATGCTTTACCAGCCTTTACAAATCTCTTTTATTTTGCACTTTCTGCTGAAAGGTAAATTTTACCTTTTCTTGAAAGACGATGGAGGTCTCCAGACCAGGTATGACGTTTAGAAGCACACGGCAGGCTGCTGTGTTAAGGCTCAGCTCTCTGCTGGTCATTATATATGTGTCCACCAGCTGCAATGCAAACGCAAAGTAGTCATAATAACTCCTTTCTACGGCAGTTTCATTTTTTATCATAAAACTATCAAAAAAGACAATGTTACATGTTATAATGAGTCCCTCTCTGTGGAACAAAACCGTTTATTCTGACTGTAAAAACATGTTTCTCTGCTGTTATTTTAAGTTTTCAACTAGAAAAGCACTCGGAGAGCGCAGACCTCCGCCAAGCAGCTCATGTCCCCCCTTATATTGTGATTCACACCAAAACTTTTACTGTTACGTGTCTTTTATTAACTTTTATTTGTGTTTGAACTGGTATGTTCACTGTTCATAATGTTCCTAAAACAACACAGCTCATATTAGATACATAAAGGCACGATTTATTATGCAATATTTGTAAGCGTACACTTCCTTGTATCTTCATTGGTTATCTTTCAGCATTGAAAATTCCAACGAAACCCTTATTTTTGTGTGTTCTGGATCACAGTATCCGGAATTTTGTTCGGATCAGGGTCAACCTTTGACACCTCATAAAACTCATTGAGATCCTTTTGTGTAATTTTTTACTAAAGACTCTAGACATTTTTATAGAGTTAAATGCAAAAATTCCAAAATTTGCCCTATCTCACAATGATAAAGAATCCTTCAAAAAATTCCTGGATCCAGAAGGCGATCCGGATCACCACCAAAATTCAATGGGATCCTCCTGGGGCTGAGACGCACCTCTGGTGAAAATTTCAGGTCAATCCATCTGTATCTTTCTCCCTAAAGTTGCTAACAGACAAACAAACAAGCCAACGCTACCAAAAACATAACCTCCTTGGCGGAGGTAATAACCATAATAGAGTCCTAGGGTTGAGATAATTTGCATTATGTGTTATGTGGAGAGAGGGCATAGTGCATGACTTGCATAGAATTTGTATGACAGTCAAAATCACATTTTCTTAATGGAACAATTTCTATGATTTCAAAACGTCTTTGGGGCAAATTTTCATGAACAAACATCATCTGGAAACTGCTGTGCATACAGAACAGTACAATTAAAAATTGATATCAAAATTCACCACAGGATATCTTAACTTAAAATTATGAGTCATTTGGTTTGATACATGAAACATTTCAAACTCTTGAAAGGAGGTTTTTAGAATAATGAAAAGTACTAGAAACGCTTGATGGTGCCTTTTTATGACAAAAAAAAGCTCTCACCACATCACTGAAGTTATCTTTCGAAAAGATTGTCTTCAGAAGCTGCCCCAGTACACAGCCTGGGTCTGCCCGACCTGAAAAACAGACATGTACAGATAAAAAGAGCAGCCAGAAACTTAAGAAAACACTGTCAGACAAACTAAAGGTTTAAAACACAAAGAAGTGATGGTTGGTAATCACATCTGACTGATGCAAAATCAGTTTTAACAAAACTTTTCATGTTGAGTGTAAATGTAATTCTACCTGGGTGGCGGTCATCAAAAGGATCAGGGTCTGCTTTGTAAAAAACTTCTGTTTCTCGTTCAATCTGTTCTGAAATTCTGCAGAAAGATGAAACACTGTCATCTTCATGAAAAACACAACAACAGAAATGTGTACCTCTTAATAAACTAATCTAATGAATAAATCAGCCTTGAATAGAAACAATCCCTGCTCACTTTGTCAGGATGGACACCAGCTGCTCTGTGGTGCCCTGCTGTTGTTCCTCCCACTGATCCAGTAGCTGTCTGAGTTTAGTCTTGGGATCAACTTCTGTTCCAACAGTCTCAGCAGTTGCCGAACCAACCCTCAGGTGGGCTGATGGTACGGCCTGGGGTTCATCTGATGGGCTAGACATCGCTGCCTAGAAATGAGGAGAGTGTAAAGAGGAAAAAGAGAGGAGTACAGTTAGGAAGGTGAGGAAAAGAGAAACCATAAAGAGTCAAAATGAAGGATTACAGATTGTTTGCTTCATCACAGTACAACAGGTGTCACAATATATAATCCATGATAATATCATAAAATGGCAATCTACGATAACTGATAAATTACAAACAAGCATAACAGATTACATCATAGTTTCTGTTTAGCTAAAGGATGCAAAATCTCCCCACAGATTATGAAGCACCAAATGATTTTTTGACTATTGTTATCTGTATTTAGCACCAGCAGTGGAATAACTGTACGGTGAGAGTCAGTAACAGAATACTCCGCTGTACACAGTGTCATTGGGTGTTTTAAAAGGCGCCTATAAATAAAGTGTATTATTATTAATATCAAATCATATCATATCACCTCAAAGACAGTGGATTAGTAGAGAGACTAATAAAAGGTTTGATTACATTAGTTTAACAAACCAGCATGTTCTTACTGATTGTATCGGTACACTATTAAAACACACACTTTTATTGATTACAACAGTCATTATTCCACATTATAACCTAATATACTTACTTTTATTGGCCAGAATTAGTCAAAGATGGCTGAACAGACATCCAAAAGTCACTTGTAGAAATATTATCGTTAAGAAAATAGATTTTCGACAACATTTATTCAAGAAAATGTTCAAATTTAGTAATTTTGTCCATTGCAAAAACAAACAAAACAAAACAAACGAAAAAAACTATTGCAACTATTTGCAATGAATGAAATGACACAAAGACTTTAATCGTGAAAAACTACTCACTAAATTTTAAAGAGCATTTTGCAGCCCTTCTGTTAAATCAAATATTGCAGTTTATCATTGTATTATTGTCTTGCTTTTTATCCATTATCGATCAAACATACTTGCTGTGTCTACGATAGTTACGCTGGGTCATATAAATCAAAGAAAGGGTGAGTTGCCTGTGGTTCATACTCCCTAAAGTTGAATAATACCAACTATGTTATTAGTATATAGTTTTTAATGACTTCATTGCATGCGTTAAAGGTGAGAAACACTGAATAAGACTGTGACTGTCTCCATCTTTGACATGTTTGAGCTGCATATTCATGTTACCTTGGTTTGTCCTCTTCAAACTGTCCAAGACCTGTTTGCTCAGACTTCTCGGTTCTGACAGTTTGAGACCCTCCAGAGTGTTTCTAACAGCACAAAGAGCCTCTGTGTCTGTGTATGTGTGAGAGCCTGTATGTGCACAGTGACAGGTGTCCTCTGCTTCAGCTCGGGTGTCGAGCTCTGAAGCTCTGCAGCTCTGCTCGGAGGAGACTGTCTGCTCGCTGTGAGTTCAGCTAACGCGGCGGTAGGAAGGTGACAGTTAGCAAACTGGGCTAACTTTCATTAAGTCACGACGGCCAGTCTCTATAAAAGTGCGAAATCCATTTTAAAATCAACCGTCTCTGGTTCAAGTTGTGAAGATTTAAACCGAGTCTTGAGGAGTGAATGCAGCAGCAGCATGTTGACAGCCAGTTCCCTCATGTCAGAATTGAACACATACAGCTTCAGCTAGCAACTTCACCTTATCTTTAATATAAAAAAATCAACACTTACCTAAAGATAAACTCCCTCTGCGATAGTCTTCAAATTTGATTTCGTGGCGTAGAAATAGTCAGTGAAACAACGCTGACAGTCAACGTTACTGGAAAAAAAAGTTTCACGTTTATTTTTCAAACTTCTCCCGGCGACCGTACGCAACGTCACTGAATGAGTCGACGTTGGATGACGACAGTAGCCGAAACTCCTGATGGGACTTGTTGTCTTTCGTTTTAACTTGTGTGATTTCGGTGGTTTCTTCACTTTTTCTCAGGACAGGAGCAGCTGATGTTTTAAGAACTTTAAAATTACACTCTTTGCGAGGCTTGAAGTCCGTGGCCAACTTCACTCAATGACACTAAAAACCACCGACCAAGCCAGGAACCTGGGTTTAGTTATGGACTCAGACCTGAATTTTAACAGCCATATAAAGACTATCACTAAATCAGCCTATTTATCATCTCAAAAACATTGCACGAATTAAAGGAATCCTGTCCAAACAAGACATGGAAAGAAATGTCCATGCATTTATTTTTAGTAGATTAGATTATTGCAATGGGGTCTGTACAGGTCTCAGTAAAAAAATCAATCAAGCAGCTACAGTTCACCCAGAATGCTGCTGCCAGAGTCCTGACCAACAGCAGGAAAATGGACTATAACACAACTGTCTTTAAGTCCCCACACTGGCTCCCTGTGAGCCGAAGAATAGAGTTTAAATCCTGTTACTGGTCTACAAATCACTGAATGGTCTCGGGCCTAAATACATGTCAGGTTGGGCACAAAGCATGTAGACCCCTCAGGTTGCCAGGGACAGGTCTATTCATTGTCCCCAGGGTCAGAACCAAAAAGGTTGAAGCTGCATTCAACTTTTATGGCCCTCACCTGTGAAACAAACTCCCTGAACACATTTGGAGTGCACAAACTGTCAGCTCTTTTAAATCAGGGCTGAAAACATTACTGTTTACTCCTCCTCAACACCTCAAAGACAAGGGAGATGGTCATAGACTTCCGTAGATCCAAACCCCCTCTTCAGCCAGTGAACACCTGTGGAGTGGACATTGAAGTGGTGACATCATATAAACACCGAGGTGTACATCTAGATAATAAGTTGGACTGGTCTAAGAATATAGACTTCATCTACAGAAAGGGGCAGAGCCTGAGAAGACTCCGATCAATAGACATCTGTAGTAAGATGCTGCAAGCCTGGCTGGGCCATCCAGTTGCGTGAATCACTTGCCGTTCCTGTTGTGGGAAGGAACGGCAAGTGATTCACGCAACTGGATGGCCCAGCCAGGCTAAGATGCTGCAGATGTGTTATCAGTCTGTGGTGTCTACAGTGTTCTGTGCTACGCTGCAGTCTGCTGGGGAGGAAGCATCAAACAGAAAAGATGTAAGACGTCTTAACACCCACTTCATCAACACCTTGATGGACCAAAGGACAAATGGTGGTGGACGGCTCCTCTCTCTTTGCTGCAGGACAGGAAGATTCAGAAGATCTTTTGTACCATCAGCCATCAGACTTCATTATTCTTCTGTAAATAGTAGATAACTTTTAGAGACATACTATGTGAGACAACGGACAAATGAATTTCCCTTCGGGGATTAATAAAGTTCTTATTCTTATTAGCTTTCCTATAGTGTCAGTTTCTTTTACTTCTACTTTGATATCTGCTGTTGCATCAATTTCAACTATTTTAATGATTTTAAATTACATGCTTTACGAATGCTTCCTCTGTTCCATGTTTCTCAGGGAAATAAAAACAAATTGGGACCTCACTAACGAAATGGGAAGAACAGGTAAAAGGCTGGGGAGCTTTGGAGACCTACTGAGTCTTGGAGACTCGGGCTGAGTGCCGGGGAGCTTCAGGTCAGAAAGCTTGCGACTCATTTTGTTTTACTGGGAAATGGCTGTTTTCATAAATAATTAGGTCAAACATCAAACGGACAAAAAAGTATCTGTTTGTCTTGATTTTAAATTGTTTTAATGTCTTTTTCCATTTCCAATACATTTCCTTGCATCTTTAAAGCACTTTGAACCGCCTTGTGTGTGAATTGTGCTAATAAACTTGCCTTGCCTCTCTCAGTTCCACCATCATGTTTTTACATCCTTACTGAACCTGCTCTTTAAAATTCCTCCTTTTTTCACTTCATTCAACAATCAGAAAAAGAAACAAGTGCAAACTGTTTATTGAATCTTTTGTCCAAAAACACCTTCTGCCTTCTTAGAGAAAAATAGTCTGTATCATCTGGCATTTTTTAAGACTTGGCCTGCATCTTGTTAAAAACAACAAAAAAAAGCTAAGTGACAGAGCAATAACTGTTCTGTCTATATTTACAATGTCAAATGGACCACATTTTACACAGTTGAGCTGCTAAAGCAAGAACAAGAACAAAGAAAAAGCTGCCAAACTACTGCCAACAGGGCACTTACACACCCAGCTTCAAAGCGCTGCCATTACTTTGTATACAAAAACTCCAAGATTGGATGCAAATGTTCAAAGACTGTTCACCACATTCGGAGTCCAAAGCTTAAAAAAATAAAGGGATTATTCCCAGCTGCTCTGGCTCTGATCTTTGACGGCAGTGTCATAGGTAGCACCTTCAAGATTTCACTATAGGAATCAAAATGGCGACTGTTTTTGAACATCATGAATCATTGAAGATCTAAGATCCAAAAGTTGTCCTGTCCAAGCCGCTGCACTGAAGGATCCTGGAAATGAAGACATCTGATGACATCATCTTGGGGTTTTGGACAGTCAAACATTCTTGTAAGGTTAAAGTATGAAGAAAAAGAGAAGCTGCAGCCCTGAATAAAAAAACACTTTCTTTGCAAAGCCTTCAAATATAATTGATAAAACCTATTTTTGTGGATCATTCCAGATATGTAGGGACCCTGTGCTAGTGTGTTTTAATTTTGTCTCCAAACAGCATCATAAAGAGTCCATACAGGAATCCTCCAGTGAGGATCAGCAGAGTGCTAGACACTGGGCCAAATGACAGGAGAGCTCCAAACATGTAGAAGAGCAGCAGCAGCAGGATGGTCCGGTAGCTGGCCAGCGGGCGCAAGCTCAGCCTCGGCCGCTGGTTCCTCTCCATCGCCTGCTGTGACATCGGGCTGTGCCTGAGTTTTACTGCAGAATCTCCATCTGACAGATAGTGACGACCGAGGCGACCCAGGAAGTCTGGACGAGAGCAGAGTGCGTTCATGTGTCTTCCAAACTGTTAAGGGGTGATGGGAGAAAAATACGAACTTTTATTTAAATAATGAAAAGAGGTTCAGTCACCCCACAGCATGAAAATTCCTGCTCTGATTTAAAAGACTTTATAAAAACAAGATCACGAAAAACATGACATTCTGGGCAGGTTTCCATTATGCCTTCTAATATTTTGGTTTAGGTTTCACCAACTTTAAAGAGACATTTTGGACACCTCAGTTTTTATTATGTGTACAATAAGCTGAAGGAAGCTGACTCACCCTCTCATTAACCAGGGAAGAGATCTTGTAGAAAAGCCTGACCAGCAGGGCGCTCTCATAACTCCTGATGGGCTGGAGCTCAGGGTCTCCTTGATAATGAATCTCAAACCTTCGCAGTCCGTTCATGATCTGCACAAAAGTTCAAACACACACACACACGCACAGTGTCAGATTGAAGTCTTCAGTGATTGGCTGGTAGTTAAAGTGCGCGCTCTCCTCCTCTCTTACTGACCTGCCTCCTCCCCAGATCAGTCAGGATGAGTCCGTTCTCTCCCTGGATGCAATCTGGAAGCTGTCTGGAGTTTCCATCATCCTGAGTGGAGCCAAGGTTGGCTATAAGCTGAGTAAGCTGCCCCTGGTTCAGCTAGAAAACAAAGAACAACCAACATTAAAAAAACACAGAACAAGATTTGAGTTGTAGAACTTAAAAAAATAAAACTCAACGTACAATCATTCGCTCAATATTCTAACTTGTTACAATTACACTGTATCTTAAACTGCCCTGACACTTAAGAGTGATGGCACTTGTAATTATTCTTCAGATTGTGTGCCATTACAGAAAAGGCTTTTCTATTCTACTCGCTCGAAAAAACATTCTGGATGTTCTGCATAAATTAACTGTAAGGTTTCCCTGTAACCTGGGACTGTTTGTTGGCTACAGAAATCCATGGAATTCAAGAGTATTACTTATGTAGCACATTACAAATGTGCAACTCAGCATTGTAGTACTCGCGTCCAGGACTGAGTTTCCTGTGTCCTGATAAGTTATTAATGCAGGAAAAAAACTTTTAGGATTGGCTATAATACCTTGCAATATTTGCAGTAGTGACATTTCTACACACATCATATAGGTAGCTACATGCTTTGCAACTTTATTTTTAAATGTGTCATTTTTATTTAAATGTGAAATTGTGCGATTTGTATTTTTTCCACATACTGTTATAACCATTCACATTTTTTGCTTTTATGACTTAGATTATTTGAAACAGTTTGAAAAACACCACTGAAGACCTAAGACTCGACTCGGGCTTAGTTTTGGTGACTCGACTACAGTTTGTGCAAGTGCTAATAACTTTTATGAAAAGATCTTCATTTCTTTATTTCTCTTTACAACATTTGCTAACACACTGACCGATGGTCAGTTATGTCCACCAAGAGACGCAGTGCAGTGACATCAGTCGAGTGCTGCATCTTACCTTGAAGATCTGACACAGGTTCTCTAAAGCTCTGTCCAGGAACTCGTGGGTCTTTTTCAAACATTCCCCGCTCTCCTCCGGCTCGGCCCCGGTGAACGTGTTGTTCAGATCAGAAGAGCTGAACCCAAACCAGGACAGGAACGAGCTGTTGGTCGCCATCTCGTTGGAATGATCAGATATCCTTTTTGCTGTTTGTCGAGCCTGTGCAATTATTTGTATCAACTTCATGACCTGAAAAACGGACACAAGATTTAGATTGTGTGTGTCTCTCTTTTTGGTGATAAACATTTGGATTGGTGACCAAACTTACTGCTCCTCTGAGCTCAGTACCAAACATCTGTTTGTACTGGCAGTCCTGGCCCTCCAAAGCGTAAACGTGGCTCTTAACCCTGAACACCACATCCGTCATTACACGCTGCCGTGATGACAGAAAGCTGCCTCCTTGGCTTGGCGTCAGGTAGCCGCGAGGTTGTCGGTGGTGGAGGACGTGCTCTGGCTCCAGAAACAGCTGCTCTCCTGGATGGACATATTTGGTTTGGTTATGATTTGATTTAATCTACTACAGATAAAAGTCTGAAAAACATATGAGACTTTATTTTATGAACTGTATTCATCTCCATTATTTTTATTATCTTCACATAAACTCATTCTGCTTCAGTCAGCCCCATCCTGTAGTCCCCTATCAGGCATGTGAAAAAACACAAGTACACACACACCTGCTTGTGACAGAAGGTTACTAATATTGTCTCACTAAATCAACAATATTGATGAAATCGATTTATCAGAGACAGCATGTCTTCACCTCGCGCGTTTGTCTTTTCTGTGCTTACCCTTCTGGATCATCTCAGCCAGGTTTGGCTGAGCGAACACTTTGGCCACCCTGAAGACCATCAGAGCATTTTTGGCATTAACCAGATCTGTCCTCACTGTTCTGTTCAAAAACACCTGGAAGAGCTTCGTGTACATGAGCAGGTTCTCCTGAACAAACGACTCCCTGCAAAACAAGCAAGCTCACGTCAGAACCAAAGTGACAGCAAAGCAGTAACACAAAATTATATCTAATCGTGTCCTCTGTAAATCTGAACCAACCAGGTAAAAACAACAATTGGATTTGATTCTTGAATGTCTTCTTGTTTTATTTGGTTTGAAAGGAAGAAAAGAAAAACTACCAAAATGTGAAAAATAAAAACAGGGGAGAAGCTTTAAAGAAAAAAACAAAAAACAAACAGCATTTCTGATGGTCGAATAAAGTCTTAAGGAATCCCACAAAAAGTTCCTGAATTAAAGCCTTTCAGGGAAGGGACGTCAGACTCACCATTTATCAGGCACTGTTCTGGCTTGGTCTGGTTGAGGATTGATCTTTTCTCCTGTGTATCTCCACGGCTGGATGTAGCTCAGCCACGTCTCCAACACCTAAACACAAAGATGATATTCAGTCGGTGTGAATCGAGTCAGTTCTGAGTATTCAAACATCCATAAATTTACTTGAATTAATCTGAAGTTTTTTGTTTCGCAAATCAGCTGAATAATTCAAAGTAAATAAAGAAGCAGTTCCAAGTTTTTGCTGTAAAGGACTAGACAGAGCTGAAGCACTGAAGAACAAGAAACCAAAAGAAAAACTTCATCTTCTAACAGAGGAAGATGACTGTACCGTCCGGGTTAAACACAGACAAAAATAAAGAACATCATAGGGGTTTAATTCTGAATGGGACCTACCGCTCTGAAAGACGCATCAAGAGGCCAGTGTCCAAAGCAGTGTTGGAGAAACAGGTACAGTTTCTGCTGGACAAAACGCTGCACCACCACTCTGAAGACAGAAGAAAGAGACAAACAAACTCTTTCAGGCTGTGAGTCGTGCAAAACATGTCTGGACAGTTTTCATTCAAAGCAATGACACTATGTTAAGGAGTAAGTTGTGATCTTTCTAAACAGTGGCCTTATTTTGACATATTTTGGGTAAAAGGACTGAACAGTACAAATACATTAGCTGTTGCTCAACAGATTGCTACAGCAGGGCAACTAGCTGTAACATATGCAACTTCATCTGTATCTCTCTAAAAGCCACCAGGATCTTCTGAGGAAAGAGAGGTTTGATTTAACAGAGCACCACAGTTGCTGGTTTACAACAGCCTTGATTGTTATTTTGTGTTCTTGAAGTAATTTTTGTAGAAAACCTCATATCAAAAAAACATTTAAGAACAAAAGTTGTGATTTTTCTCAACAAAGACTGATGAACAAGAAGACAGCGGTGTCAGCAGTTTTATCTGATTAAGATGGGCTATTATTACACTTTTAAACACTGGTATACTGACTTAATGTTAGGACTGGGCGATTATATGATTGAGATAAATAATCGTGATAAATTTCAGCTGATCACGGTGATCAGCTGTGAGCATATTTACTCGATCAAGCATAGTGGAAATGTGCGTCACAACAGCCAATCAGAGTCGAGGTTTTCCTGCTCAACTCTGTAAGTTACTGGAGAAGTAAACAGAATGACCGAACAAAGCCAAAGATGGTGGTTCGGGTGTCTCCAAAGTGACATCGAGCATTAAGCCAATGTGCAAGGTACGTCAGCGATCGATGCCCTAAAAAAAACGGCAACACAACAGATCTGTTTAGTCTTTTAAAGAAAGTTCTTCCCCAGTGATTATGTGGAAAGCATGGAAATGTGAGCGAAGTGTACACAGCCTGTCACTGCTGACGGCACAAGTAGCATTAGCAGTTTAGCTACAACTAGCGGAGCAGCCACCAGACCAAAGCAGCAATCAATCGTATATCTATGTTGACATTCTCTAATTTTTACATTTTAAGGCGTCTTCATTATCCCTGAGGGTGTGATTTGTTTATTTTGGGTCTTGCATACCTGCAAAAACAATCAGGACTGTAAACTAGTTCACTGTATTATCTAGTATTTATCTACATTTTTTTTAATTGTTGGGTTAAAATGTTTTTTAGATTTTTCTATGTTCATCTTGTTCAATTTGCTTTGCTATTTACGTTGTATGTTAATAAAATATTGAACTAATCTCTAGTTTCTTTCGTTTTTAGTACAGATGCTTTAAAACTGGCGGTTTGGAAAAATACAAATAAAACCGTTCTAATGGCGATCAGACAAAATATATTGTGATAATTTTTTTTAATTTTTTTTTGCCAAATCACCCAGTCCTACTTAATGCCGTTACACACTACAAACTACAATCAGGGGTTAAGTATTTTTGCTCCAGTTTTGGTCTGTTATGTGGTTTTCATCCAGAGCAATCTTCTGGGAAATCATCTCAACTATTCATACTGATTGGTCCTTTAAAATATGGAAGTAAAAAGAAACAGGGCTAACCTAAAGGAAAGAAATGGTATAATAAACTTCTCTCTCTATGTAGTGTGTCTGACTGAAGCATGTATGATGACGCTGACCTCTTGAACTCCTCCAGCGGGCTGGTGTGAGTGTGTGAGTGGGCTGAGGGTGAGGAGGAGAGCTGCTCAGGCTTCAGACTGTTGGAGAAAGCATGCAGGTGTTTCACCAAGAGACGCACCACCAGCACGTGTTCCTCTGTCGGGCTGAACGGTTCCTGAAAAGACAACCAGTCACAAAAATGCTACTTCCACAGACCCCACCCAGTTTCCTCCCAGTTTCAAAGAGCAGCCAATCATAATGCATCCCGATCCAAAAGCAGCCGAACAATCACCAAAGGCTCAGAGCTTTATATTTGCAGCACAGAGGTCTCACACTTATGGACGATTTAGTTTCTTTGTTCCAGTTTGACTGGTTACAGATCCTGGACTGCACTTCATCAGCCCCTCAGGACTGTTTCATGCCCTGCAAGCTCGAGTTTCCATGCGTTGTGTTTACACACAGGAGCTGCACAATTTAGCAGGATCAATTTACCTCTTTTTAACCTAACACTTCCTTAGTAATGAATCCCTTACTCTGATCGTGTAATTCAAAGACTCCAAAGACTATGGCTCAGAAAAGTGGACCATGTGTACACTGTTATCATTAGAAACCTGCTCTTGATAAGTCTTATATTTGATTTCAGATTTCTATTTTTCAATCATTCATTTTGATTTTAAAACTTCATCTTAAGAGCTGATTTCGATTTTGTGTATTTGAATTAGAAATGTAGGACCTCAGTGCTCCACAGGCTGCTTATAGCAAAGCTGCTTTGTAAAAAGGATGCAATGCTTCTTCTTGTGGATGCCAGCAAACACATACATTACCCCAGCAAAGTACATCCTATCTAGATTTCAGCTAAGAATAGAAAAGTATACATGTTCTAATACTTACATGATTTTTTCTAAAGTCATGGAAAATAAAGGTTGCGCCTTTAGAGCAGAGCAGTGTCAGTAGAAATGAACATTAATCTATCATGTAAACATGTAACACAACAAAGCACACCAGACTTGGAGTAACAAAGCATGCCTTTCTGAACGTAGAACAGCAGAGAGAACCACACCCGAAGCAGCAAAAGTCTGCCCAAAGATTCAAACTCCAAAGCGTCATCATTCCAGGATTGCTTTCCCCGTCAAGGATACTTCTCTGCACGGATTCACAACTTACAGTCAGACTGGAGGTCTGGGGTTGGAGATTAAAAGGTGATAAGTTTGGGTGAGGATGAACACAGAGGGAAATTGTTGGGGGCATTACCTCTAAATCAAGCTAAATGAAAACAATGACAAAAGTCAACAAATGTGGCCAGAAACTCCTCTAAACCCTGACCAAAAGATTTTTTTAACAGACTATTATTAAAAGCAAATTACAGCTATCTTATTTCTCCGTTTGTCTTGAAATGGTTATGATCTGTTACTTCTACTGTCCACCTGCAAGCCACCTGCTTTTGAATAAAGGCAAAACAAATTCAAGAAGTAGTCAATTCTGCGCAGAATCAGGATTTAACCATCAAGCTGTAGAAAACGCTGCCATCATGAGGCTGGTGACTGCAGGGATGATGTCTCACCGTGTTTGTCAACATGAGAGAAGTACCCTTGACTCTGATTGAAACTGACTGAGGTTTACCTCCAGGAGGCCCCAGAGGGGCGGGGGTGAATGAAAAGGTAAAAGTACTTGGTAGGTGTGGAGGGTCCCAGAGCCTGGTGGGGCGTGAGGTTGGCACGGCATGCTGGACATACTGAGGCGGTACTGCAGCAGCGCCAGCTGTTCACCCGTAACCACCAGGAGGGAGAGGAAGACAAGGAAGAGGAAGGACAACCACAAAAGGGTGGAGGAAGAGTGGAGAGAGCAGAAGGGAAAACAGGGAAGGTGAGGAAGAGGAAGAGGAGGGAGGAGGGAGGAAAGAAAAGGTGGCAGGAGCCGAGGGCCGGACTGATCGAATGTTCATTGAAAATGTTTTAAATGACGCATATAGTCTAGTGAAAGTGCAACCTACTGAAAACTTAACAAATATATTCCAATATGATCAGATAAATAAAGCAATATTTTCTTATGGCTCTGTCAGTAATCTTTAATTTTCAACAGACACAAAAGACAAATTTCCTTTATATAAAAATCCCCATTACATGAACATTAAATGAAAGAAACCGGTATTATTCAAGGCACCATCAGTGGCCTATATTTTCTATTTTAGCAAAAGTGGGCTAAATTTACTTCAAAGAAAACACCATATCCTTATATTACATTATACTGTACACAGACAACGCCTTATTGTAATCCTTCTATTTTATATTTTATACTTATCACAGCTCTTCTCAGTTGATTTTCCTTCAAGGATCAATAAAGTTGTTATCTTTTCTTTAATACCCTGTGGGTTATTTATTTGACTTTACACCATGTCACTTTATATTGATAGTCTCATGCCATATCACTTTATCCTATAGCCTTCAATTCAATCAGTGAGAGCTGTACAATATTAACTTGAAGCTAAAATTAGCATCAAAGCACATATTTACTGAGATTCATGTTAGCTCTGGATGCTAGCACTAGCTGTTGTTTAACAGATGCAGGGGAGTTAACAAGTGTGTTTTCCTGTTTTTCTTCTTTATTCCGACTTATCAACAAAGGCAAAAATACGAATGTTAAAAAAATATATTTATATAAAAAAACAGAACAAACAAAAAAACTATCTTTTGGTTAATCAGTCACTTTAAATGATTCCCATCCCTGGTGTTTAACATCTTTAACAGAATGAAGTGAAAACTGAAAGATTTTGTTACTGTGCAGAAGTTTCCATTTTTTGAATGAGGCACAGCAAACGGAAGTTTACTTTGTGGTCTGGGATTGAGAACATTTGATGTTTGAATGACACTGTAGATGGAGGACATCTGAAATTGAATTGGGTTGGTTTGATTCAGTCAAAATCTTTCAGTTTAAATTCACTCTTTAGCATGATGGACACATGACACAACAAAATAACAGGACATATTTGTTAATGTGTTTTAAGGTGTTTAGTGTATGGTTAAGTGCACTTAAATGCAGGGCAATGGTCAGCATGCAGGAGCTAAAGGGCTAATTCACCGTTTCCTGTGCAGTCTTACAGAGCAGTAATGAAGCCTCAATGCTTGAAATCCTCTTTGATTCATCTGAAACGTGCTGCAGATCTTTCAAAGAGCTGTATAGAATTATTTAACCACTAACAGAAAAACCTTTGCCTTAACAAACAGTAACAGCTCCAGTACTCTTACCTTAAAAAGAGACTACGGACGACAGTACTGCACAACAGACACTCAGGAAACTGTTGCTGGATGGGTAATAAGTGTGTTCTGCACTAAAACATGCAGTCGGCATACAGCTAAAGCTGTGGGTCAAAGTGTGTGTACAAGTGAAGGGTTTTAGATATACACACTGTGTGAATGAGTAGGAAAAACAGGCAATCAACACCAGCATGAAGTCGCACTGTGACTGCTCTGGGCTGATGGTCGTACTATGTAACCTGTCTTATGTTTACTTTGACTTGACAAGAATCACACTTTGTGCTGCTCAGGATTTTGGAGTCATGATATTATCAACCCTGGAGATTTAAGAGAAAATAACTTGATTTTTATTGTATTACATAAAAAAGTCCCAAAGCAAATGAGTAAAAAAGTTTTCTGCCTTGATTTTCCACAGATGCTAACTGTGTCAAAAGTCTAGATCTAGGTTTAAATTTTAAGTCAAACTATTATAACTGAGCCAGGCTGCAGGGTGTGATTCATGTGCACACAGGTTTGTTTGCAATGAGAAAACTGTCACTTGATATAAGAGACTTTCCATTAAGGAAACAGAGAAAAATGAGTGCAAAGACAGAACTGTATCTTTAAATGTTAGAACTCCCAACAGCTACAGCCATCCAAATGACAAGCAAAGGGTGTCTCTACTGGCTAGAATCATCAGAAAGACATGCTCAAATTTTGGACATCACAGGATTTTTGCCATCTTTGAAAACCAACTGTTGGCATGTTCTGCTTTGAAGGAGATCCGGTTCCCTGTGTATCCCCAATGATAACCAGAAGCAGTCATCTTGTGAGTCTATGTTGGTGTTTTACATGCATCCACCAGAACGAAAACTTGGTGTTTTGGACATGCAGCATGCAAAAATGTTAAAGGCAGCAAAAGCACTTCCACCAGGAACACATCCAAGACTCCTCAGAACAGTAGCTCTACTCTGCATGTGCTAAAAATGCTAGACGGATTAAATAAGATATAACACATAAACTGGAACAGGGTCATCTGCTGTGTGTTCACACTTGAAGCAGCAGTAGAAAACTTTGATTTCCTCAAGCATGTCAGTATCTCTTTTTGTGTAGTACCTGTATAACATTTCATGTGCAGTTTTGAAATACTCTGCACAAATATGGCATATAAATATGTGGCTGCTTACAGTGTGAACAGTCATATACATTTCTTCAAAGAGTATTCACAGTATTTACCGCCTACAGAAGCTGGTTCATCTTCAAACAAAGCCCATGAACAGTGAAGGAAAAAGAAAGTTTAACAGTAAGGCATCCTAACAGGGAAACAAGGGGAAGGGGTTGGAGGATGGGGGTGAGGGGGTCGTGGTCAGCCAGTCAACAGCCAGCCGTGCGGTGCTGCAGTGCAATAGGGATGATGGGGGGGGGCATCTCCTTACCTTCACTTGAGGAGACTGCAGCTTCTGATACATATCCAAAGAGTAGTGATGGAGCCAGATCTCCACAAACATCTTTGGTAAACACACACAAACAAACTTTTAGCTCTAACTGGAACAAGAATATTCAGAAGACATTCAAGACATTTGAACATCACTCATTTGAGATTATTTTTTGGATCCATGTTCTACCTGTAAGAGAGTCTCAGACCTCCAGATTTCCTGGGCTGAGGGGTCTGCGTTGACCGATGGCTGATGGAATATGTGGTGTTTGAGGAGACTAGGACTGTGGACGCCATAACCAGCGAAAGACACACCGGAGGATCTGTGGAGGAAAAAGTATGAACAGAGGGAGTCACAAAACACTTTGTCAACAGTTTGGTGTGTCAAACATTCCACGTTTTAACCTCTAAGAGAAAACTATGTCTACAGAAGTTTGGTTGAATGTTATTCATAAAATGTATAAACAAAAAAACTTCAGGCTGATGTGACAGGCTTCTCTTTCTGTACCGTGGTGAAGGTGCGGTGACAGAACCTCTGGAATCAGAGAAAGGGGACGGCGGGACACTGCCCTCACTGGGGAGGAAGTATTTGAGGTAGGTGTCCACGAGCACAAAGTAGGCGCTGTCAGTGGAGCTCACATGAAGACCTTGAGGATGGCTCTGAAAACAGAGAGATGGCTTGAGCTCAATTTGAAGAAAACGCTTCAACTTACATTGAGCTAACTTTTTAAAAAATATGATCACGATTGATTTCTAAGAAGCAGTGAACAAACAATAAAGAAGATCGCACTGTGACAAACTCACCTTTGGTGTGATGAGACAATAGGCAAAGTTAAACATGTAGAATTCAAAAGGATCTGAAGAAGGTTAAGAATCATTTCACGTCACAGTTCTTTAGAGTCAGTCCCCTTCGTGTCTTGCATGAACCCCCAACAGTCAGACAACTTGAACATGCTTTTTAAAATGCTGAATGAAATCATGAATAAATGTGGAGAAACTGTTCCACCTGAAAATGTTTCAGATTGATATTTTTGGAACAGACACCGAGAAAAAAGCTGGAAAGTTTCCTTTTCTGTGTTACTCACAGGTAACCAACTCATATGACTGACCTTTATTTGGGGGCTAAACCTATATTTCAGATATAACAATGCACTTTCAGCTTCAAATTTGCCGATTATGAAAAGTTGTAGACAGCTCAATAAAAGATCACTTGAGATATAAATTCACTCACAGCACAAAAAAAAAGCTAGAGTCAGAATCTGTCGAGCACTTGTTATGACAAAACCATATATAGCCTGAGTCAGCCTGAGGTGACCCTCACTAACACCATCATCAGAAGCCAGACAGACAGTGTTTGTGTTGGGAAGGATACTCAAAGCAACGTTCAGAGACAGCAGACCGGACAGGGGAAACTGCAGCTTGTTGTGGAACAGGGGACAGTCTGGGAGAACTCCCTCCTGGATGCAGGCCTTCACAGGACCCTGTGGTTCACAAATGGATACACTGAGGTGGATAATCATTTCTGGAACAACTCTTCAGCTGAAGCAGCTTTGGATACTTAAGAAAATTAAGTTTCATCATGTTAAGAAACATCTTTCCAGGCTCACACACAACATACTCTTCAATTTTATAATGAACTCATTTCTTTTACCTGTTACAATATAATTCAAGAGCTGTTAAGAGTTAAAAACGGCATACACACACCACATGGATTGAGCTGGTTTGAGGAGAAAAGAGAAGTGAGACAAAAGTTCTTACTGGAAGATAATTGACAGGTATTTCATATTTGTAATCTTCTGCTTGCAGTTTATATACAAGCTTCATCATTGGCCCGCTGAAAAACACAAGCAGATAAGAGAAAGTTTAAACTTGATCCTTGAGCAATGAAAGCTTTTTCTCTCTGACCACACAAGCTGATAAACAGATAAACTACCCAGGGTGTAGAAACTCCGTCACAATGTTGTACTCATTGCATCTTGAATGGAGGAGTCGCAGGTTCCAGCCTGCGATGACGCCATCCAGACTGCCAAACACACTCTCCACCAGCCAGGGGAAGACCGAGTGCAGCTCCTTCAAGCAAACACACACACACAGAGTAATGAGATCATAAAGGTACATTTCAACACAATCTGCTGAGGGAGACACCTTACTTCTGATGACCAGCGGTACAAAACTTGGAGAATGCCGCTAAAAATCTTCATCAGTCTGATGGATTAAGTTATTCCATTAACTGGTGTGGCTGTCTATGTTTCTGAAACATGACAGACGCTTCAGTTTTTTTTGGAGAAAAGGACACGAAACATAAGAATTGAGTTTTGACAGAAATAGCTCAGGGCTGGACCCTTTAAGCAGAATTCTCCCCACATTAATGACCATAATCATGGCATGATGGGGTCTGTAGATCAACAGGATAATGTTACTCTGCTTATATCTATATTCAACTAAAAACCTTCACATCCTTACTTGCAAGACGTTTATTATTGTTACATTGGAAATCTGCTTACTATCCTTCTATTTCCCGGTGGCTTAAAGACATCATGGTTTTTTTAAAGCTTGAGAAAATAAAATTTACATTAAGAGGATTTACACTCATTTTTTTTTCACAAATGACACCTTTTATTTCCTATTTCACTCATTTAGAGGTACTACCTGATAAAATTTCTGCCTGTTCCTGTGGTGTGTTTTATATTGCATATATGACTAATAGTATGCGTGTTGTTTGTTTGTTATTTTTACACTGCACTCTGCACTGTAATTATTTTTCCTCTATTTTATCAGAGTGTGTTTTTGTTCACTTTTCATTTATGTATGTGTAAATGTGACTGTTTACCTATGCATGTGTGTATAAAAAATAAGAAAATGACAACTGTATTCAAGCAATTGGAAATATCTTATATTTTTCAAAAAAAATATTCGGGGGACAAAAAAACCTTCGACCCCAACACTACTTTTAACCTTGATGAGCCACCCTGAAGAAGGAGTCAGAAATGCTTTGAGAGCGAGTTAAGATGAAGGAGTTTTTTAAAACCAGAAAAAGATTAAAAAGGTTGAAAATTAAGCCATTGTTATTGTCTAATGGGATACGTTCAATAAGCCTGATGACCGGAGCATGAAGAAGAAGTTTACAACAGTGATGTATTCAAAGTACAGTCACTGATGAATCAGAGAACAATACTGCTCACATATTACTGCTGCCTCACATTCATTCTTTGAGTCACTCACTGAAGCAACAACAGCTGCTCTCAGACAGAACTGTGCTATTTTTGTGTACAACTTTGGGAGAAATAAGTACACATTTAGTCAACAGTAGACAAATGTACACATCACCATAAAACTTCAAACAGAGCAGCTAAAATAACACAACACATTTGCTGATTCAGTGAACATCTCCTCATGTATGCAGAGAACAGATTGCAGTGTAAAGTGTAAGATCCCTTCAAAGTGAAAGTGAAGACACTCAAAGTGAAACTCAGAGGTCAAAGTAGCAGCAGCTGTCTCTGCATGTAACATACACTTAACATGAAAGGTAAGGTCGAACCCTCAGTGCAGACTCAGACGAGGGACAAGCAGCTGACTGAGTCTACCGCGTGTGCAGAATGAAGATGAACTCATCTCCAAGTATTACCCTTCAAACATTTTCAGCCAACAAGTTTGTCCAAGCTGCAATAGTTACACATATCATTATGACGATCAGAGTTCAAAGTTCAACTTTAAACTGGTTCAGCCCTAAGTACACCCTGGATGTCTAGGCATAAAATCTCATAACCGTGAGTTGGGGCTCTTTTTTTAATGAAATTGACTCATCCTGTTGAAATCTGTGCCTTTCAGATTTGGTCATGGGATTTGGGCACAACCACTACTTCCAAAAACTTGGATGTTTGTGTTTGGCCTTAGTGTGTACTTGTAATTAAAAGCTGTCATACTTTTTCAAATTCATTTACCACAATGCATTCACATATATTTCATGTTTCCCCAAAACAAATCTATATTCTATGCCTAATTCAGTAATGCAAACCCTTGGCACCATTGAGCTGACTTTGGGCCCCAAAAGCACTTGTGTCATATTAAATTGGGCAGTTTATTTCAATATGAATCCAAATTACCACTAAACTGGCTCCAAAATATCTGCAGGTCGCTGTTAGCTTGTTTGAGCTTGAACACACTTGAACAATTATACCCAAGCCAAGAAAAATGCACATGCTGAGTCAGAGAGCAATACTTACAATTGTCATTAAGTATGGATTATCTTATTTTTAGATGCCAGTTCTTTGTGGTAGCCATGATCTTTTATAATATTTGTGTATTGTGTGGTTAGACGGGGATGAGAGTCACGTGGTGGGGGTGGAGGTAGTACGTCAGCACCGGTAGTAGTGAAGTCAACAATGGAGAGGGGGTGAATGGGGAAGTCCTAGTTTTTGCGGACCGCTTTTTCACCTGATATTAAACGACTGCCTTTTTTGTTTTCATGTAAGTTCTTCGTCTTTTTTTCATCAATAAAACTACAAACAGAGATACAGCCTGTTCATTGAAGCTTAAACAGCCAGCGCGTCAGGCAAGGTATCTTTTTCCCCTACTCAGCCTCTCGGTGACTAAGTTGTTTTGGATAGTCGCCATACATTATTGAATGGAACAAATTCCAACATTTCTGATGGGTTTATTGTGAGTGTCTATATCACAGGTATGATTAAACTGCAATCAGATACACAGCTCTGGAAACTGTCATGTATGGCAGCTATATGAAGTCAGCAAACAACAACATTTGAGGGAGGTTTAACTTTACCTTTGCAGGATACTCATCAATAATCTTCACCAAGTCTTGGCATCGTTGGAGGAGAGGTTTGGTGGTTGAATCAGCTTTAAGGTTGGCCTAGGTGACAACCACAATACATTCATCAACTCTTTCTGAAAAGTACAGTGGAAATAAAAAGTCTACACACTCCTGTTCAACTGCCAGGTTTTCGTGATGTAAGAAAATTACAGCAAGATAAATATTTTCACAACTTTTTCCACCTTTAATGTGACCTATAACCTGTACAATGCAATTGAAAAACAAACTGAAACCTTTAAGGAGAAAAATAAAAAATAGAAAAGTTAAAATAACCTGGTTGCATAAATATGCACACCCTTAAACTAATACTTTGTTGCAGCACCTTTGGCTTTTATTACAGCACTCAGTATTTTTGGGTAGGAGTCTATCAGCGTGGCAAATTTTGATGTGGCAATATTTGCCCACTCTTCCTTGCAAAACCGCTCCAAAACTGACAGATTGCGAGGGTATCTCCTGTGCACAGCCCTCTTCAGATCACCCCACAAATGTTCGATGGGATTCAGGTCTGGGCTCTGGCTGGGCCATTCCAAAGTCTCAATCTTATTCAGGTGAAGCCGTTGTTTTGTTGATTTAGATGTGTGCTTTGGGTCATTGTCGTGCTGAAAGATGAAGTTCCTCTTCATCTTCAGCTTTCTAGCAGAAGGCTGCAGGTTTTGTGCCAACACTGACTGGTATTTGTAACTTTTCATAATTCCCTCCACCCTGACTAAGGCCCCAGTTCCAGCTGGAGAAAAACAGCCCCAAAGCATGATGCTGCCACGACCTTGCTTCACTGTAGGTATGGTGTTCTTTTTGTGATAAGCAGTGTTGATTTTGCGCCAAATATACCTTTTGCGTTGATGCCAGAAATGCTCAACTTTGGTTTCATCAGACCATAACACATTTTCCCACATGCGTTTGGGAGATTTCAGATGTCTTTTCGCAAAATAGGAGGTTTTCAGTCACGTGATCCTGACTTATATTTGAAAATGGAGGGCAGGAAGCGGCCGACTGCAATGGAGGAGATGCGCCGGTTTAGATGCGTACCGGTATTCAGCCTTAGATGGAGTTTACCACCCGCTTTGGGCTGCATTCCCAAACAACCACATGATCTCAGTTGTTTATTTTTACTTCACCTCCCTGAAAGATTTCTATTTGTTTTTCAATTGTGTTGTACAGATTATAGGTCACATTAAAGGTGGAAGAAGTTATTTTTTTTACATGACAAAAACCTGGCAGTTGAACAGGGGTGTGTAAACTTTTTGTACAAAATCCTGAGCATAAAGTCTGAGTTATCAAGCTTCCTGTATGGCTAGTAAACACAGATTCTTTGTTCATGATACAGCAGAATTGTTTACATGTTTGACAAGGTCGGAATCCCTGTGTTAGCTGGATGAAATACAGGTTCACTCTCGATTAGAAAATATGAATATGGAGATCAGGAGGGACTCACCAACAGGAAACTGGGCTGTTGAAGTGTTTGAGCAGCCATGTGGGATCTCTGTGGTGATTTCCTCCTGTGATCAGTCCACTTGGATCCTACCTGAAAGTTGTAAACACGCAGTAAACTTTCACAAATTTCCAGAGTTTACGGTAGCTGGTGAAGAAAAACGGCCTAGCACAACTTCGTTAGCCACTTTAGCAGCAAACACGCTTCACTATTCAAACAAATGTGCGCTGTGGAAACAGGATGACAGCTGTATGTTCGGTTAATCCGACAACAATGTCTCTCATTGAGTGGAAAAGTAGACAGCAGACAGACAGACAGACAGTGAACCGGGAGCAGCGGGCTAACGAGCTAACTGAGCCAGAGAAGAGACCAAAACTGACAGGAAAAACCATGAACAAATGATGTTTACAAGACTTTCACACGCTTAAGTTAACATATATTTACCTCCTCTGATGGCGACAGGTCAGGAGTTTCACTACTTTCAAGCTGATCACGTTTCCATCAGTGGAGTTCAAACGGGACCGAGCGTGCAGCAGCCGTTAACTTCTTCCTCGGTGGTGTGTAGCTTGCATGTCATGTTGTCGGAAATTACTGCCACCTTCTGGCGACACGTAAGTCCTCCAGTCTACATGTTTTTTTGTTTTTTTTTTAAATTGAACTAGTTTATAGTGTAAACTAAACTACAATATTATATAGTGCTATATCAAAGCACATCATTTCAAAATGGTAATGGAGAAAAAAAAATCTTTTCAAAATGAGAGTTTCATGCAGGAAATATCATTTGTCTTTTGCTACTTCTGCTGTGTTTTCTTTTCACATACCTAAATTTCCACCACAATTATTGGATAGTTACTCCTGATCAGAATGAAAGGAATTCAGTGTTACATGATGAAAAAATTTAATTTACTGTGCCTATGTTTAAAATAACGCTTTGCTGCCGGTAACATGGGTTAAACTCAGTTACATACTTTGTAACCAATCCTACCGTATCCTACTGTTTTACTTTTTGGTCTCAAGTCTCTCAAACAGCTTTAAAACTAGTCATGTCATTATGCTAATAGACATTAAAAATGATGGACGACAAACTAATAACATCATAGACATTATGTTACATGTTAAGTTTTGAAAGTGGAAACTGGATACTCTAATTTAAAACTTATTTTTTAAATGTCTGTATGGCCTGGCCCCTTCTCTGTTTAATGAATTGGACACCAGACAGCAGGATAGTAATAAGAGTCAATACAGGAGCCTCAGAAAACAGCAATTACAGTTGCATTACAGTTTTCTCCGTTTTAGGTGTAAACTTGTCAATTTGTTTGCTAACTGGGCAGAAACTACAGCACAACTTTAATGTTTGAAAGATGAAACAACACAGCTCTCACAACTAAAACTTGAGCACACAATAAATAGTCATCTATTTTGGTATGTTTTTCAGCTTTGCATAAATACATTATAATTGTAATGTTTCAGTTTTCTTTCTTTTTTTGGGTGTTTTCTTCTTTTTCCTTCCTTGAACAGATCTGGCAAAATAGCAATTTGCAAAAAACACAGAATACAGTGTTTCTGAGAGTTGTCCATGGTGTTTTGCATTCATGTTACGGTATGTCCATGTTAAACAAACAAATAAATAGACAAATAATAATTAAGTGCTTGCAAAATGGTCTTTAAAATTCTGCTTGAGGCAGATCTGCATTGATCTTTTTTTACTCATCCTCCATTGCATTCATGCACAACAGTCTGAATATGCAGCTGTTTGCAAAGCCAAATGACAAACATTACAACTCTCTCACTCATGAACCAAATGACTGAATTATCTTGCACAGAAAAAAGATGGATTTTTCATGTTTTTATTTCACATCACTAAGTGGCTTATTCACATACAGAATGGCACAAATCTATTACTCGTTTTTGATTTCAAAAGCTTATCAAAGTTGGTAAGTTTTAACAAAAATCATTTTGCTGGAAAAAAACAAGTCTATGTATAAACACTCAGAAAAGGCACTAAACTCTAAAAGAAAACTATAAAAATAGAGTTCTTTATCAAACATTGATATGAAAAGTAATGATTAGTTACAAGGCAGAATTAATTAAAGCTTTACAGTATGTGCTTCTGAGCAGGGCCCAGGTATGTGTGCGTTTCCACTGAGGCAAGAATTCACTCCTTTATAGATGTGTTATCCGGATGGTATCTATGTAACATTTCAGAATGATAAATAAAGAAAGATAAATACATGTTATTATTAAACAGTAAATGTGTAGCAGTATACTGGGCAAACACTGGTCTTGTTTAGTCCTCTGTCATAGATTTATAAGAGCTTGTGTATATAAAGCTGTCTGCGTTGTTCTGTGTGTGACATCCTAATACATGTTCACCTGAAGGTCAGTCCATTACTTGCAGTTTTATGTCAAATCTAATGTCAGGTATGCAGACGCACTGCACAGTTAGTCTATTATAGATTGAATATTGAAATAATAGTTACTGGGTTTTACTTGATATGCAATTTGTTAATAGAACATTTTTGGAAAACATGTTATATTTATGTTACAAAACTTTTTACACAAACTTAACTTTGTAGACCCCATTCACATAAACCAGTGAAAAATCTGCAAACTTCAATTTGTTTTACACTGATGTTAAAGATTACCCCCTTAATTTAGTCAAAGCATGTGGTAAACTGTCCAAAACAATCAGGACTGATGCTTTAGATGATATAAAAGATTTTTTTACATGTAAGACTTTTGTTGTGTCTAAATGTAGAAATAAACTAATCCATTTTTATTTCTCTGTTAGTCTTTAATGGTTAAAATCCTGTGTATCATTTTCCCAGCTCGCATCATTTGCAAACAGTCTCGATAAAGTCTCTCCTTATCCTCCGCATGTACAGGACCATTAGTCCATATTCAGTCTCTTTAATCCTCTACAGGACTAAAGAGGAACCTCAGGAGGGTTGTTCCTCCTCACCCGGGCTTTTCTGCTCTCCTGTTTCAGCTTCAGAGTACGCAGTTTCTGCTGCCGGCGTTTCTCTCGGTACCATAGCTGCTCGCAGTACTCGTCCACGCTCAAACTGTTGGTCCCCACCATGTGCAGGTCTTTGTAGCTCCGCAGGGGAAGCTGCTGAGGATGCTGCGGCAGCCAGGAGTTCCTGTGTCCTGGCAGGACTGCAGGTGGATGAGGAGCCCCTGCTCGACCTAGAAACCCAGCCATCCCAATCCCCAGAGCCATGTTATGGTTTGAGCCGTGGGTCTGCTGATAGTGGGTTTGCTGTAGGTTGTCTTTGGGGATGACATGGACACGGTATCGGGCCAGGACCTGGCTGTAGGAGTGCTCATGGCTGGAGCAGGTGTAGAGGCCTGAGTCAGACAGCTCAAGACGTTGAACCAGCAGCCCACGCTTCATGTGGAGGGAGCGGGGATCATCACTGTGAGGGAGCTGAGAGAGAAACACAGATAAAAAGATGAGGCTGAAGCTGCCAGATTGTTTTCTCTTTACCAAAACAGTGTCCCTGCTCAGTTAAAAGACCTCAACCAAAGCCATCCATTTAACTTTTGTGGTTGGTGACACTCACAATGTCACAGTAGAAACTCGCTTGTTTCAGAAATCTTAGCCAAGAGAACAAACCTCTTTGGTTTCCTGTGTGTGACTGAGACTTTGCTGCTGGTTCTCTGTCTGCTGCAGTGTCCACCTAAGCTCAGCCTGCGGCGACCGAGGAGCGCACTCCAGGAAGGTTGAATTTCCTTCCACACCGTACACTGACTTCACCTCCACAGAGTCAGAACCTGATGGAGCAACAGGAGGAGAAAAAGAAAAACAGTCAGGATGATTAGTTTATTACTGATGAAAATAAAAATAGGAGAGAGTGTCTTGGCTGGAAAAGAGAGAAAATCGCAATAACACAGTAGAGCCTCTAGAGTGCGCCATACTTTAACTTGCAGGGCAGACAAGCAAGAGAGGGAACTTTAACTTTGATGTCAGGTTCAGACATCTCCCTGTTTTATACTCTGATAGTTCAGAAATAGAAAATAACTAATACATGGTTTTGTAAAATTATACTATGAACAATTTGATGTGACATTTACTGTCACAAAATAACTTCTGGTTTAAAACACTGAAAATCATCTTCGTTTTTGACCCTGAGGTTAAGACATTTATATATGCAGCTCACTACATACAGAGTAATCTACATGGTTTATACTGGTAACAGCAGTGGTGTAAAAATAACACAGTGCATATGTTTGCAGTAAGTGTACAGTACATAAATATAATGTATATATTTTTTTTCCTTGTATTGAAGCGTTTTATCTTGATATCTTTGTAATGAGACAGCAAATATCACCCTGCTGTCTCATCAGTTTAAAATATCACTTCCTGCAAACGTGAAGTTAAAAATGTATGAGAAGGGTGGTCTTGCTTGTCTCACATGTGACAGCTGTCAAAAGCATCAAAATTACAATCCTGAAGAAATCTTGTTGAGTCGCTGTTATTTGTTCCATTACCTACACTCCTCCCAGGAGCTCAATGTTTATTTAAGCTCTTAATGCTGATTTGTACATAGGCTCTTAAAGAACTTCACCAACACATTTTTTTTTATCCTGTTTCCCAACAAAAGTGACAACACGTGTGGTTGCTGAGCACCTTTTCTTGTTCTCTATCCTGTGATGAAAATGCTGGTTTTCCTGGTTATTCAAAGACAGGTACGCCCTGTGCTGCTAATTTACTGATCTGCAGTTACCAAGTAGTTGTTACATGTAGCAAAGATGAGTTTTCTGTGATGACTGAAAATGATGAAAATATCATTGTGATTTCATGTTGATGAAGATTTGTTAGAGCGGCTGTGGTGGTGGTGATGATGATGACAGAAAATGAAAATGAAAGAAAAATTGCCCTCTAGCTCTGCATGGCAGCACTGTGTTCAAGTGGACCTGAAAATTGTGTATCTTACCCATCTTTCCATGTTGATTTCTTCTCAACAAATCTTTAAAAAAATTTCTCTTTTTTGTATAAAACATTTTTTATAGGCCTAGGTTAACTTGTTTTTATAATTATCTGTGAACTGAGTGCATGACGAGTGTATTTATTTTTCTATGTTTGCTGTGCTAACCCTTTGCTACTGTTAAAACTGCAAATTTCCCCACAGCAGGATAAATAAAGACTTATCTTCTCTAGATCCTTGCTAGTGTTATACTTACTCTAACTTGGATGTGAAATGACCTGGTAACATTGTGACATTGTAACGCAAGGAAAGGCTGCAGCATGGTGTAAAGTCTTTTGCAAGCTTTTAAATAAACTTTAAAGCTCTTTTCACATGGCAAGTTCAAGGTGAGCTATTTACAACCCGGTCATGTCTCATTTCAATTTAAAAAGTATTTTTTGTGAAGCCTCTGTTTATTTTCAGCCAGCTCATAAAATTTAGCCTGGCTTCATGTCCTGGCTAAATTAACGTTATGCTTAAGGTTACAGTCAGCTGATCTTAAGCCAGCCCTCACTCAGCTGACTGCTCAGATGATCGCCCTCTACACATATTATTAGCTAATGTCAAAATGGCTCCCTATTTAAACTGCTTCTCCTGCCTACTCT